TTCATTACTAGTACAGAGGAATAACAAAAAATTCAAAAGAAAATTTCTAATTTTGTTTTGAAATCATGTTTTAGATTATTATCTCTATTTATTTTAAGATTTCACAAATGAAGAAATGTTAACAATAATTTCTAGTTTTTGTATAAAGAAAGTTTTAAATTTTGTTTATAATTTTTGCTGGTCAAAAATAGGAAAATAAATTTCAAATAATGTTTATCATTATGTAAGTTATTTCTTAAGGCAAGAAATTGTGAAATGCCCCACATGGTGGTTTGTGCCGAACAACATCACGTGCCTCCTCGGAAGGTAAGAGACGACACGGTTGTCTTTGTCGAGATTGTACTCCTTGGTTGGCTCCTTCTACTTCATCCTATGTCTTTGATTCAGCACCCTGAAGTTGACGTAGTAAATCCTGAACAGCACTCGCGAGGTCTCAATAATCTTGCTGACCTGAGGTAATGTTCTGGTTCCTTTTGGTTAGGACATCGCAAGTTAATAACTCTAGTAGGAGACTGCTCACTGAGTCAACTACTGTCTATATACGCGAATGGGTGTATGGCTACTGGTTTAAAATCAAGTACATGCGACGCCTTGCAGAGAAAAAGAAGCTTAATTGGCAAAAAGGCGGTTCCAAGTATTTAAACAAGATAATGGACTATGTATCACGATCGACTGGTGTTTATTGCTGCTACATATAGGAACCAGTCTATTCTGATTCTTGGATTCGTCAAAGATGACGACAGACGAAGGTTGGACGGCAACGAGTTCTCCGAGTTAGAGATGGACAACATACGGAGGAAGATCGGTCTTCCGGCAGGGACGAAGCCTAGGTGGTACGAACTCAACGGAATGGGATACGACCCGAACGAGGAACTCCAGAGTGAGGATGAACGGTTCCCTGATGATACTGGCGAGAAGACGGAAATATACGAAAGTGTTCCTGATGTTCCCGATCTCATGCTGGATCTTTGGTAGAAGTAGATGCCCGTCTGTTAGGAAGTCCTGAAAAGTAAACTGGTTCCCAATGCTTGTAGACATTACTTTCAATGTACATTTTTGTCACTATGTTCGTTATTTACTTTGTTCTGATGAGCAGGTGGTGCTCGTTCAGCATATTACTTTTTAATGAACAAATCCAGCATACAGACGAACGCCTGCTTCCAACGTATATGATTTCTATGTACTAAATTGGTGTTTCTCGCAGGACCTTAACAAGGTCGTTGATAAGCTACAACAATGGCCTACGCAAGGTGAGCATTAAGATTCTAAATTTGCACTACACATTACCTCTTCATAGGAGTAAATCATAGTATATGCCTTCTCGTGACCAGATGTGGAGCGACGCACATGTTCCACTATATGACGTATAGTCAAGGAAAGCTTCAGCCACTTCTGGTGATCGAAGAGTTTTTTTTTTCCCTCTTCAGCACGCTTTCCACAGTAAAACCTTACGAAATCAGACATCTGGCCTAGATTATCTTCAATACAGTCACTCTGATACACGACTTGACAAGTTCGCATGACCTCATTCAAGAGTATGGATCCTGATGTGCTGTGGCTCTTGCCTTTCCAACACGCATAAAAATGCGCCGCCGCTTGGCTTGATAGGTCATAGTTATCTCACTGGGTTGAGAAATAAAGAAGAAATACTTTCTGTTAGTTGTCGCTAGGGTTTGATATACAAAACAAAAAGGAGTACACGTTAAACTCGTAAGAAATGCTGCAATTGAAGCAATTCACAGCTGCAGTGTTAAGCCTCCTCCTCTTCCATCATGGCTAGTTCGTCAGCAATATCTCTTAAAGTTCGATCTGCCGCCCTGAAACTCGGGTGCTCATCGAGGGCGTCGGGGAACTCCTCGTCTTCACTCTCAAGAGCTACATCTGGATCGTAATTCTCGCCGTCGACCTCGAACCACCGTGGTTTGGTCCCTTTTGGAAGCCCCAACTCCTTCCGAAACCTATCCATTTGCTTTGCCGAATATTTGTTTTTCTTCAATCTTCGTCTGTCATCATCCTCCGCGAACACTAGTATCATAGCCCTTTTCCCTTGATAATTAACACCGCGGATGCGACACAATACACGCGCCGCAGCCCATAGATGGTCAAATATGTCGAAGGACACGGCCACTGGGTGATTCTGCCAATCGAGGCCGTACTTCTCAGAAAGCCGGCGGAAATGTCTCCACTTCACCCAGAAGCCATACACCCAAGCACGTCTGGGTCTGTGATGCCCCTTGGATTTGGTTTTTGGAAGCGCGTTCCTAGTACGTCTCCGTTAGTCGACTAAACAGCCAAGGGATGAATAAGGAGTCACCTAAGGGTAGCGGTCTCATTCAATGTTTCCGTTGACTGCGAGGGGAAATCCTCGGCTTTGGGTGTTGAAGACATGACAAGCAGCGGAGGAAGGCGAGTTGTGGTTAAAGAGAAACTCTGTGGAAGGCTTGTTTATAAACTGCTCGTCGTGATGTGTGATAGTGACTTTAAGTTAACGTTGAGGCCCGTGACTTGTTACCTAATTACCTAATAAAATAAGCGGTTTCTTGTGGCTCGGTAATATCCGGCAAACGTCTTCTACAGGCAGGAAACCTTCAATGCATTCGGCCATGAGTAAAAACAAACGAAAATTCGTGGCCGGTATCTGGAAGTGTGGCTTATCGATGCATCGCAAGCGACTGAACAAGAACATTTACTCAAGCCACCTTCCTGCTTGCAATATAAAATGTGGGCATCTGTATCAGACTGACATAAGTCACATAACCACAAACCTGCATTTCGTCTCGAGTTCCCTCTTCCCCCCCCCTCCCCACCTTTTCTATTTCCAAGTCCAAGGAAAGCTGCTGTGTATTCTGGCGCTTATCAAGAAATCCACAGTAAGTCCCACTACAGTTGGGTTGTTCGTGACCTTAACATTTGACTGCCAGTATGACGACTATGGACAAGGCGTGGAGTAATTGGCAGAGAAAGCTGTATATCTCGATTAGAAGTATCCTAATTCAAGTAAACCGAGAACGTCTTAGGATCAACAATCTACAGTATCGTGGCTACGAAGATGTCTGGTATGGTGTATGGGATACTTTCTTGAACATGAACATTGCACGCTTCGAGTCCGTTGGCCTCATACCCCAGCCGCGCATTGTCCGGAGATTTGGGAAGGAGGGAAAGGAACGTATTACATGGAGAATCCCCGACTTCGGAATCGTGCGCCACATTGGAAGGCGACGCGGATATAGTAGAGGTCGACGAGTATGGATTGAAGAGCAGTCAAGGCTTGTTGCCATTATCGAAATCAAATGTGTTCCTATCAACAACTCACCACTCCTGGTATTGGACGCTCTCAACGAGGCTCGCGGAGATCTTATAAATCAAGTGGAACTCTTCTTCGAGGCAAATCCCGACGTGGACTCGATCATAGGAATCTCTGTTGCAGGCGATTGGTGGTCATATGAAAAGTTTACCAGGGGCAATAATCCAACTGTGCAGAGGAAGAAACGTGATACTGACGGTTATATTTCATCCTCGGACTTGCCCAGCAGTCAAGAGCATGACGGGTCTGAAAGAAGCCAGAGCGAAGATTCTGACAGTGAGTCCGGTGATGAATCCAATGAAGACTCCAAACAAGGGCCCAACAACGATAATTCGGGCTCCGATAGTGATTCTGGTAATGGGTCCACTGAAGACTCTGGCGATGAGTCAACTGATGAAGACGACGATGTTGGCAGCAATCACAGCAATAGCATTGGTTCTAATCAGGACAACCACCCTGCTGACGAATCTGGTGACCGGGCTAATGACAACAATGACAACAATGACAACGAGACATCGGAAACAGATTCATCCAAAGATGAACTCGACGTTATAAGCCAGGATGAAGACCCGATTGCAGAAGGATACGTTCCCTACAGGCGGTGTAGGAGTATAAGTGGTGGGCTCAAACACTTTTACCAATTACAGACCGATAGTAGCAATGCTGCAATAACTGCATTGTTTGAAGCAATTAGAGATTTACCGTCCTGCAGAGACGTTTTCGAGCAACCTTTTTAACATGTACGTATGTTCAGCCCTGAATAATGTTTGCTTTATCAATCAGTCTTTTTCAATATAGAAACGTATACACTTGTTTTTGGTTAAGAACTGTTCAGAATTGGGAAGTCGTAACGTAAATAGAATTCCCTTTTCTAGTGTTTGCATGTTTCTTTTTCAAATCTGTTGTAGTATGAAGCGGAACCCTATATCTTCCTCATTCATCGCGACCCGTTGATCGGCAAGAACTTTGTACGGATCTTCCTCACTGAAACTCGGGTGCTCATCGAGGGCGTCGGGAAACTCCTCGTCCTCGCTGTCAAGCTCTACATCTGGATCGTAATCCTCGCCGTCGACTTCGAACCACCGTGGCTTGATCCCCCGAGCTCCTTTCGAATCCTATCTATTTGCTTCGTCGAAAATTCCTTCTTCTTTACCCTTCGCCTGTCATCATCCTCGCCGAATACTAGTATCATAGCCGTTCTACCTCGATAAATAACACCTCGGACACGACAGTAGACACGTGCTGCGGCCATAAGGTTGTGAATTATGGAAAGAGACGCGCCAACAGGGTGATTCTGCCGATCGAGATTATACTTCTCGGCCTGCTGTTGGTAATGTTTCCACTTCATCCAGAAACCGTACACCCAAGTTCGCCTAGGTCTGTGATGCTTCTTAGATTTAGTTTGGGGAAGCGCATTTCTGGTGCATCTCTTGGGTCTATTAATGAGAATGTAGATGATTTAAGGAATCACCTCGAGGTAGTATATTGGAATCAGAACTCCTGTGGACTCAGAACCAAAACCCTTGGCTTCACGTGTTGGTCTCATCGGTGGCAACGGATTAAAGTAAATTCGAGCTGGACCAAAATCTATACTTATATGAGCCTTTTGACGGTGGCTTTGTAAGCGTTAGATCTTCTCATTTAAAAAAAGTTCAAGTCGTTAATGATATTAATAAAATAAGGAGCTTCTCGCGACTCGGCAATACCTAGCAGTGTTTGGTGTGTGTGCGGAAAACAATAATAATTCCTTAGTGCGTTTAGCCATATGAAAAAATGAAGTACAGTGAAACCTCTCATTAAGCATAACTCTCATTAAGCATAACCTCTCACTAAGCATGACATTTCAAGTCCACCATTACCTTTGTAGACACTAGAATTTTACTTGTTAACAAGCATAACCTTTTATTAAGCATTACATTTTATGTCCACCAAGGGCAATGCTTAATGAGAGGTTTCACTGTATGTATGAAGTCAGCAATGTCTGTGAAAGTTACAGAGCTTTGAGTGGCTGACATCTCCACCTTCAGTCTAATGCTTTGGTCAGTCAAACCGGGCGTGGCACAGTGCATGTAGGCAACATCAATTTGTAACTTGGTATACAATTGATTTAAATAATTGCCATAATCTAGTGTGGCTGAGTACTTGTGAATTCCGGGTTTCAAGGAATTTATTACATTCATATCTTTGAACGAGCTCAACACGAAGCACCCAGCATATGGATAAAAGAAAGAAAACGTGAAAACTTTTGATCCAGAGCATGTTTCTGATTGCAGAGTTAATTGAGTTAACTGCAAGATGACCTGAACTTACTCATAGACTAAAGAGGCCTTCTACTGAACTCCGCAGAATCCTCCAAGTTCTCCAAGCTCTTTATCGCGTCAACTAAACGGTGGATTGCAGTATCACTCTCAGGAGTTTGCAATTGATAAATTGGATATTCAAATTCCTCGTCGGAGCCGATAATATCCAAGGGACCGGGGGTTGACTGGTTGGATATATCCATCGGGTCGGGGGACAACGAGGATAGCAGGTCACTCGGCAGATAATCAGGATCGGGATCGTCGATGTCGGCGTCATTTTCAAAGTCAGTCCTGAGCAACGTTCGAAAACTCCAATAATCTCCAGCAACGGAAATACCAACGATAGCTTTTCTCTGTGGAAATGCTAGGAAGAAGCTTCCTGCCTGTAACATAAGCGCAGTAGTAGCTTCTGAGATTGCAAACTTGACCATCCTCATCGAAGGATCCCGGGGTGCGGGCTTGATCTCCCCAATAGCCACCAGCTTCGACTTAGCAGGGAAGAAGAATTCCTCGCCACCGACTTCTATCACTTCTTCGTCCAGATGGCGTACAATGCCAATGTCCGGGACACGTGTTTTTGAGTGCTCCTCGTCTCGGACCTCAAAAATTCGCATTATACGAGGCTGTGGGATCTTTGAAAGTGAGACGTAGCGACAGGTGATCCTGTTAATCACAATGTCCCAAGTCCAATACCATATGTACTCGAGGCCACGATGAGTTTCACGGCCGGTTCTGTCACGCGTCGCGCGTATGTTTAGTCTGTTGACTGCAATAGAAATACGCTCCTTATTTTTGTAATTGGCGATGACATCTCGGACATTCAGCAGACTATGCATTTAGTTAGAAAAAATAACTATGAGAATTCACTTGAACGCACTGGGCCATGTATGTATGAGCCAAACAAGAAGACAAGGATTGGCAGTTAAGTGTATAAAAAATGCACAAATAGTGGAGTAATCAATGTAGGTTGGGAAGAACCGTAAGTTATGCATGCGTTTTATATGGGAGGTTAGTAGCTTCACCTGCCAAAGGTCAGCCGCCAAAAGGTCAGCCACTATCAGCGATCTCATTTCCTCTCTATCCAGACGAGATCATGACAAGGACAGGCACGTTCCTCATTGGCCTTGACATCTGTATTTTTGATAAGCAGATCGGAATTGTGGCCAACTTTCTGAGTAACAAAGTCGGCGGCAACCTGGATTTTTGGAATCAAAGTACAAACGATGTGGCAACTGTAAAGAGTAATCACATGACGGTATATCCCGAAAAGGGTTCCAAATTGGGACGCGATGCTGACGGTCACGCGACACTTTTGTTTCAGGACTCACTGGTCAGAGGTTGTTTAAAAGCATCCGGCTTATCTCTCCTCTCCTCTTTTCACTCCACCATCTCGATCCGTATCAACCAATGCCTACGTCACAGTATTTTCAAGACGACAGCGCCGTCCTTGAACAGCGTTCGCGAGGCTTCAACGCTCTTGCCGACTTGAGGTGGCTTTCTGGCTTTCTTGGGTCGAGGCATGACAATCGCAAACTGATAAATCCTACAGGAAAATGCTCCCAGAAGAGAATAGTCTTGTCGATAGGCGAGAATGGGTGTACGGATACTGGTTCAAAGTCAAGCATATGCGACGACTTGCAGAGAGACGCAAGCTTGATTGGCAGAAACATGGTTCCAATATGGTCGACAAATTTGTGACCTCGCTCATACTTTCGACTGGCGTCTTCTTTAGTGCACATTCTGCACTATACAAGGGTCAACCTGCATTGATCCTCGCTTTTGCCAATGACGACGACAGACGGAGGTTGGACCGCGTCGAGTTTTCCGAGTCACAGATAGACAAGATAAGAAGGAAGATTGGTCTCCCAGCTGGGACGAAGCCGAGATGGTATGAACTTGACGGAAGGGGATATGATTCAAACGAAGAAGTCGAAAGTGATGATGAGAAGCTACCTGGTGAGACTGACGTGATTGTCGAACGAACCAACCCCTGGTGCTCGCAATATTCCCGATCATGTACTGGAGTTAATGCCGAAACGGATCTACTAGGGAGTCATGTGCAGTAATAGTCTTCAATACTTGTAAACATGTCTTTGAATATGAATTGTTCGTTGTGATGTCAATTCTCATTTCTGCTTCATTCCTATTAGTGCGTCGACCTCGTCTAGCCCTTGCAAATCTCGGACTATAGACAAACTTCTTTCCTTGCTCAACCTCTATGCAAGTAGTCGAGCTACTCTTGCAATTTTTCTGCCGAGAAGCGACAACAACCCAACGATAATACTTGTCAAATGCGTATTTGCGCTCCGTTCCACCTTCCGGCAGCTACATTAAGCTGTTCCTAGAGCTACATACATATGCGTAGAAATTACTTGGAATCGCCTGGTTCGGTCCATATGCATATGGTACACTTGAGGCCAAGGAGCAAGGTGGCTCTTTCGGCGGTTTACACTGGTGAATACTCACCCAGGAACAGATGGGGTAAATGGAGACCTCCAATACCCATCTCATTGAAACATACATATGCAACCAATGCAACAACGAAACAATTCATCAATACGTACCACACTGCCACAGAATTTCAGCCCGCCTCAAGCTCTGCTTTCACTAACTACGCCCAGCCCAAAGCCATTGATAAATACAATAGAATTGATATGTGCAGCTATGGGCAACGTTTCGAACTAGCATAACACTGCATGCACTTGAGCAATTCTTTCTAGATCAACATCGCTGAGTATTTTGTAATAAATATCAGTATTATTGTACTATTTCCCCTTAAACAATTGTTCATCCGCACTTTCGAGCTGCTCAATTCGTGTACAGTCACCTTTTCATACGCCCTCTACAGCAAAATCCTGTGAAATCAGGCATCTGGTTCAAATTATATTCAATTAGCCACTCTAATGCACCACAATCTAACATGAGAAGACTACATACGCCTTGCCTCATTAGCTTTCGCTTCCTTAACACGCATAAAGTGACACTGTGGTCAGCCTCCGAAAGTGCGTCTCCGATTAGCCAAATAAGCTTGAGTAGCGATATCATAGTGTATTGAGAATTCGAGAACAAACACACTGTCTCAACTGTATATGGTGGTCAATATCACTGGTATAGAATACATAGAACAAAATAAAAAAGATACTGCGACAATACACATAGTTTAAACGAAAAATAAGTTATTTAAGCACTTCACAGCCATCGCGTACAGTATCTGTCCCATCCATCTGGTACGAATCTTCCGAAGTCATGTACGGATTCTCGTAGGGGCCATCGGGGAATTCCTCATCCTCGCTCTCAAGTCCTACATTTGGGTCGTATTCCTCTCCCTTGCTTTCATACCACCGTGGCTTGGTCCCATTCGGAAGCCCAAGCTCTTTCCGGACCCTGTCCATTTGCTTTGTCGAGAATTCCTTCTTCTTTATCCTTCGTCTATCGTCGTCCTCCGCAAACACTAGTATCATAGCCATTTTTCCGCGATAGCTCACGCTACGGACAGAGAAATAGACGCCCGTGGCAGCTATTAGGTTGTGAAGTATGGAGAAAGACACGCCCACGGGATGATTCTGCCAATCGAGATTGTACTTCTCGGCCTGCTGTCGATAATATTTAAGCTTCATCCAGAAACCGTACACCCAAGTACGTCTAGGAGTATGACGCTTTCTATGCTTGGTTTTTGGAAGCGCATTCCTAGTACATCTCGTGAGTCCACTAATCGGCATGCAGAAGGATAAAGGAATTATCACCTCAAGACAGCCGTTTCATTCAAAGATCCTTTCGGCTGAGAGACAAAATCCTCGGCTTTAGGTGTTGATGTCATCGGTAGTAGCAGAGTAGCACAGTAGAGCAAATTGGAGTTAGAGTGGGAGGTCCGCTTATAAGCTTTTCGTCGTGCGCTTCGATGGTGGCTTCGTTCAACATTTGTAGTCTGCTCGAGGCCCGTGACTCGTTACCTAATAATGTATTAACCCGCTTCTTGTGGTTCGGCAATATCCGGTACGTCTTACAGGAAACCTTCATAGCGTTTGGCCATGAGCAGAAATAAAGAAAAAAATCGTGGCCGGTCTCTGGCAGCGTGGCTTATCGATTCAGAAGCGTCTACCCAAGCCACCTTCTCGCTTGTTATATAAAATGCAGGCATCTGTAGCAGACTGGCATAGAACCACCAACCCATACTCTGTGTTTCCCCCTTCCCCCTTCCCCCTGCTTCCCCCCGCTCCCCCCACTCTCAAGTTCAAGAAAGACTACTGTAAATTTTGGTTCTCATTGTGTGCTCCATGGTGAGTCCTACTACAATTGAATCGTTTACGAACTTAACACCTATCTGCCAGTACGCGAACTATGGACGAAGTGTGGAATAATGCACAGAGAAAGCTGCGCCTTTCGATTAAGAGCAACAAGGCTTTGATTGATGAGTAACGTTTGCGGACCGGTGATGCGCAACATCGTGGCTACGAGGACGTGTGGTACGGGACATGGGATATCTTCATAAATATGATCATCGCACGCTTTAAATCCATTGCAATGACACCCCGGCCACGCATTTTACGAAGGATCCAGAAGAAGAAAGGGAAAAGGCAAACCACATGGCTGATACCTGACTTTGGAATTATACGCTTCGTTGATAGGCGGCGCGGCTTTGCCAGTGATAGACCAGATAGACCTGTGTGGTTTCAAGCCCAGTCAAGGCTCGTCGGAATAGCGGAAATCAAATGTTCTCCTGTCGACAATACACCATTCATGGTATTAGCTGCAGTAGACGAGGCTTATGTAGCCCTTGTAAGACAAGTCAAGCTATTTTTCAAGGCAAACAAGGATGTGGATTCGATCATAGGGATACCCATTGCTGGCGATTGGTGGTCGTATAAACCGTTTACCAGGGACAATCTTCCTGCTATATCCAGAAGAAAAAGAGACGCCGACAGTTATATTCCGTCCTCGGATTCGTCCAGCATTCAACAACAAAGTCAATCTAACAGTATCTCGGGCGACGATTCTAACGAGGAGTCCAGTGTTGAATCCAATGACGATTCCAGTGATGAGTGCAGCAGTCGCGACTCAGATTCCAACAGTGATACAGATGGTGATTCGGTGGAAGACTCTGTCGATGAATTGAATTATGACAACGACGATACCAATAGTGACGGCAATGACAATTCCGATGTCAACTCTGACAATGGTTCGCATGAAGAATCCGGTGTCAATACCGACGACGATACGGCAGAAACGACATCTTCCAAAGACGAGCTCGATATCATAAGTCAAGATGAAGGACCTATTTCGAAGGAGTATCTTGCTAATAGGCCGCAAAGAGACGTTAGAGGAGGGATCCAGACCTTTTACCGACTGCGTACTCCTGAAAGTGATGTTGCAATAACTACTCTGTTTGAAGCAATTAGAGATCTACCATGCTGTAAAGATCTCGATGAGCAGTCTTTTTGATTTGTAGAATTTCATAGTAATAGTCTTCAATACTTGTAAACAGGTCTTTGAATATGAACTGTTCATCGTAATGTCAATTCTCATTTTTGCTTCGTTCCTATTAGCGCGTCGTCCTTGTCTAGACCTTGCAAATATCAGACCATAGATAAACTTCTTTCTTTGCCCAACCTCTATGCAAGTAATCAAGCTACTCTTGCAACTTTTCCGCCGAGAAACGACAACAACTCAACAACAATAGTTGTCAGATGCGTATTTGTGCACACTGCCACAGAATTTCAGCCTGCCTCAAACTCCGCTTTCACTAACTACGCCCAAACCCAAAACCATTGATAGATACAATAGAATTGATATGCGCAGCTATGCTAGATGATTACCTCGAATTGCCAAAGGTTCTAAGAGCTCGAGAATGTTGCGCACAGCGTGTATTCTTGCTTTCGATATTATGCGACACAAGTAGGAATTGGAGTGTGAGAATGCTGAGCTTGGTGCCTCAATTAGTTGTAGTCCCTGTAAAAGTAAAAATCATCCCAGTTTACTATACTGTTACTCACCCGCCCCATAGCACACATATGATATGTACGCGTGTTTATGAACTCGCTTTGTGGATCATTGTAACGTCAGCAATCTAAATACCTTATCGTTATCTGAGAAGGTATAAAGATCAGAGTTGTGCTCACGGTCCGCACTATAAATACAGCGTCCGTCAGATGACTTACTAACTGTGGGAGTGAAGCTTAAATGTAACAAATGCATCTCTCACCTAGGATACCTATAAATGCCCATAAACTCGCAGCACGACTAGCACCTCACTAAGCCAGCCACCATGTCGACCGCTCCAGACAAGTTTGCCCCGTTCGCTATCTCAACGCATACTTACAAGACCGTTGATGGACATCCTATTCTCCTTGATGTAATGATTCCGAAGAAGCTCGTTGAAGCAGGGCCGGGATCTGCCGAATGGAAGGTGAAGCGTCCAATACTGTTGAATTTCCACCCGGGCTGGCTGGTATGTTTTCCGCAAGGTAATCTCAAGCGAAATCAATCTAATAATCTAACGATTGTTTGAAGATCGGAGGTCAACGTGATTTCCAGCCGTGGTGGTCTCAATGGCTCATTGACCTGATAATAAAAAATGGTGCTATCGCCGTTAGTCCAGACCACAGGTTGATCCCTGAGGCGACATGTGAGGACGTCCTGGATGATATACACGATTCGTGGGAATGGGTCGTTGGGAATCTTGGCAAAGTCGTGGAGTCAGCACATCGAGGTCTCCAGCCGGATTTGAGCAGGATACTCCTGGCAGGCGGAAGTGCCGGAGGATATTGCGCATTCCAAATTGGACTCACGTATCACAAGTCCAGTAAAGAAGTTACTTCACCTGACGAGCCAAAGCCGCGCGCAGTCATCGCGATATATCCATATATTTCTATCCGCACTCCACACTGGACGCAGGCGTACGAAAAGAATATTTTCGGTATTCCGCAGCTTCCCGTGTCAATGGTTGATGATCACCTGGCTTCCATTGCCGCAGAACGTGAAAAGACGGGAAAGCAGCCGGTATTAACGAGCGTGCCAATGTTGAAACCTTCAGGAGAGTTCGCTGACCGTGCCCTATTTGCAACTTGTGCTGAACAGCATGGTCGTATTCTTGAACTGTTCGGTCCAGAACGTGATACTACTCCAGGAAAACGGCGAATGCATCCGGAAGATAGGATCATTGATGGGCGCGTACTTCCTCCGACTATTATTGTACAAGGTTCGGACGACTCGATTTCGCCAGTGGGAGGAGCTGACTTATTCGTCGAGCACCTGCGGAACTACAAGGCTATCGATGGATGGGCGGAAGGAAAAGACGAGAAAGAAGTGTTGAGATACTACAGAGTACCAGGAGAACATTTGTTCGATACTGAACTCACACTACACGGGGAAACGCAGGACTGGGTGAAAGATGCAGGATCCTTCATTGAGAAAAGCTGGTTGTGATTGGCAAAACCGTCCAGTTCAGAGAAATATGTTTTGATCTCATGTACTTGTCAAGCTAAATGTCAACCACTCAAATATCTGTAGTGTAAGAATATATTCTTGAATTGCATGGGGAGAATAAGCGATAGTCAGAAGTCGGAAGCGGTCAGCCGTGCATTGACGTTATATCGAGCCATGACCTCCAGACTCGTAGAACTTGGCCATGCGTTGCACGATAGCATCTAGTCCTGCTAGCCAGCGCGCGAGCTCCTCGTCAAGCTTCTCCTGCGAGCCACCCTGTGCAATTCGGGAATAGAAATCACGGCGGTAGGGGCATGCTCGTAACGCGACCTGTACCACGGTTCGCACTGCGAAACCATGATGTCGACGCAGAACGACATCATATGCCCGTGAGAAACTTGGTTGCAGCTTCTCTTCGTGAGGGTTTGCTCGTGATTCTTGTAGTGCACGACATGTGAAGAGAAGACCTCTTTCAGAAATCCAGTTGAGTGCGGCGCGTCAGAGGGAACAGTACAATCATTCATACCGCAAGAGCCGACGCAGACAACCTGTCCCGTGCTTATGATGATCGGTCGCTTCACTTTTAACGAGCATTTCGAGAGTATGACGATCAAGCGGTTTCGCCTTGAATGTAGTCCGTACACCCTATTGAGTGTCAAGATAAGGACGGATGAAGCGCCATTACTACCTGAGGAGAGGTGAAAGACGGACGTGTATGTTGCTTTTGATATCGGACTGGACAAAGGAGAAAACGCCTACGCCTAGCAAATCTGTAAACCCGACAAGAGAAGAAGTAGAGTTAACACGCTAGGGATGTATTTGACTTTCTAACAAGCTTACCGAACATCCCTACGAGCCCGTCGGAAGCTTCCAGGAACTCCGCAGTTGGGACACCCATGTCCGTGAGTGGTATGTCGGCGAAAGACTGCCTTATCCAGTTAGCCACTAAATTTGTGGGTACTCGGATATGAGTTACCTTTACAGACTCAAAGTAAGGCGCCATCCGGATATTATTATTCTTGAATTTGTCGCTAGTATGGGTGTTACCTCTGACACTCGAGCCTTTTCCACGGAGAACCTCGAGCACAGTTATATGGTGGTCTAAAGCAAAGCGTGCGGGAAGGGATCCAGGATAGAAACAGTTGTTGTCATTCGCCACCTCGAGGAAACATGCATGCTGCGGCCTGCCTGAAGCAGCCTATATGCGGGCTGGGCCATCAGAGTGGAGCAAGTCGCCGATCAGTCACATGATGTCTCTCCTAAAGAAGACAACGCGTTCCTTACATAATATTAACAATTTCTTTTCCTGTCATATTGGTGAAGCACGCCTACTGTACTACATTCACCGCCTGCTTCCGAGTCTCGCAACGAGAATCTCGCTTGCTGAATCTCAGTCGTTGCGCAATGCTTTCATCAAACTTCTAACATAACACTACAAGTCCTCACCCTTTAGTTAATGTGAAATCAGAGTGACAGAAAATATATTGTGTTGTATCCTGCAAAGCCGGAAGTCTTCTTCTAGCCCTATTTGCCTTCAGCCCAGATCGGGCGTTGAATGAATGATCGGGTCCGTGTGCAATCAGTGAGTGAAGACATCTTACAAATGGAACATCTTATCTCACTATATTAGGATTATTAATGTGAAATACTAGGTCATTTTGTGATATTGTTCCCCGCAGCAATCAGGAATGAGTAGCACATGCACGGCAAGGTATGTCCTACCACGTCACACGTCAAGTTTCTAGGACTGAAATATATTTCAGTTTACCCTCTCTCTCGTCTGCACCGCAGTCGCTTTACACTAGAATAACAAGTTTGATCTCTTTTTGTACGTGCTTGATACCTCTCCGGAGCAGCTCATTTTACTAATAACTACTGGATCCCAATATTTGCATTTAAGAATTGACCAGATACTCCTAACTTGGTACCTAATAAACATGTGTTTATGAGTCGAAGACCTTAGTGAAGAGTGGCGCAGTTCCGCCTTTCTTTAGTATTGCTGCGCGACATCGCGACACGCTGCGGCGCGGTCGTCTCGATGATATAAAGGAGGCCCGTATCCACAACGAAAACTCATCCTCTGCAGCTAGTTCTATTACTCTTACAAAAGCGAATTCATAAGAAAGCACTTTTCATAGTATAACATCATGAGTGGCACCTCCGGACATGGTAGAACTCATGGCATACCTGCTCTCGGTCAGGAGAGCGCGCCAGGCCTTCGTAGCACACGATCAGGTTCAGGAGCGAGCGTCGAGGTCTTTGCTCCACGCGGTGCCTCAGAAACGGTTACTAGCGAACGCGACTTATCCGATCTGGTGTCTCGTTTCAAGTCTCTGTCAACTTCCGGTTCCGACAAGCTCGTCCGTCCTGGTTTCGGCTCGCATGGTATTCAGACCAGGCTTCGCACGAATTTTTTCCGCTTGAACCTTACGCAATCTGTTTCTCTGTTTGACTATATCCTCAAGGTCGAGCCGCCCATCGATGTCGATGACGAGGACCTTCGAAAACATGTCATCAAGCTTTTTGACGGTTCAAAGGAAATGGCGCCGTTTACCCAAGGTGTTGCTCATGATGGTGTCCGTCGGCTCATTGCAAGGGCACCGCTTCCTCAGAATATTCACGTAACGGTCAATGTTCCAGCCGGAGACAAAGCTTACAGGGTAACCTTGGTCGGTCCTAGGGAACTCCGGACCACAGACCTTTCTCGGTAAGTCGCTTCATCTTACTACAAATGGCTTTCTTTCTGAGTATCGGATTGATTTCAGGTTCCTTCGCGGCGATGATCCCGAATATAATCCGGTACCGATTGTATCCGCATTCAACCTGATTGTCTCTGATTTCGCCGCGCGTAATGGTATCTGCGGTTCGGGAAAACGGGCGTTCTACTTTGAACCCAATACAGAGACGGGTGTTCGAGTTAGAGCTGACATGACCGTCATCAACGGATTCTTTATGTCGGTCCGCCCAGTCTACAACTCCTTGATGGTTAACGTTAATGCATGCATGAGTGCATTTTACGTCCCGAAGGAACGTCTGAGCGACGCCATGCTCAGTTACCGACGCGAGTCACATGGTGCGATGCATCCGGCGAAATTCTTCGGTAAGATTAGGGTGACGACAAATTACCTCGGTTATCCTAGGAGGAGCAACGTAAAGGGCTTCGGCGAACCGGCGAGAAAGGCGACATTCCGTTCTGAGGAAATGGGTAAGGTCACAGTGGAGAAATATTTCCAGAAAAGTCAGTTCCTCGGTTTGTCCAGTCAATAAGGATTTGCCTAATCAAATTGCAGAATACGGTATTACTCTCCAGCATGCGGACGATCTGCCAGTAGTCATCCTCGGTAACAGCGACAAGGACGCTCTGGTTCCTGCTGAGCTCTGCACAATCGAGGCTGGTAGTCTCTTCACAGGTCAGCTAACTCGTCGCGAGAGTGCCGCTTTGTGCGCAGCAAACTCGAAGTCGCCCAAGGGAGATGCGCAGACGCTGGCAGCCAAAGGCTCTCACTTGCTCGGATTCGACCGCAAGGTGCAACCGATGGCAAGCTTCGGAATCAATGTCTCTCCTGAGCTTGCTGTCGTTTCTGCTAGGATCCTCCCGTCTCCGACGATTGTCTGTAAGTCGGGCCAGCTGCAGGTCTCCAACGGTTCCTGGACAACTCGCGGCTTTCGTTTTGCGAAACCCGCTGGACTCTCGAAAATGGCGGTTCTCATCTTGCAGGATGGGGGTGAGGATTACACGAGCAATTCCGAAGGCGCACTGCATGAAGCAGTACAAGCTCTATTGGCGAAGTGTCGATCTTGCGGCATGGAAGTGGATCCGTCGTACATCGTCCGCATTATCCAGCTCCCGGAGGCGAGTTCCGATGATCCATATCGCGACCAGGCTGTCAGGATGATTCAAAGCACGGTTGCGAATTTTCCTGGCAGGCCGAATATCGTCCTTACTCTCATGTCGAATCGCGATACCCATATCTTTGCTGGAGTGAGACGCGTACTGGATACGGTTGTCGGGTGTCAAGGCTTGGTTGCACTCACGTCGAACATACAGGACAAGGACGGCCAGGACCAGTATCTGACAAACCTCGCCCTTAAGCTGAATGCGAAGATGGGTGGGATCAACCATCTTCTGGACCCGGCGTCTCTGAAATGGCTTCAAGGGACTATGTTGGTCGGCTTGGATTTGACTCCACCTGGCGAAGGTAGCATGAAGGGTGCTCCAAGTGTCGCGGCTATGACTGCTAGTGTAAATGGCTCATTCGCACAATACCCGGCGAGCCTGTCCCTTCAAGACGGCAAGAAACTGGTGAGTATGACGTACTGTTAAACTTCCGAACTGTTTCTAATAGTTATACTCTATTTATTAGGCTATAGTGAACGCGAAGAACATGTTAATCGAACGTCTCAAGGATTACAGGCGTCAAAACAAGGCTCTTCCGGACCGTATTATCGTATTTCGTGCTGGACTTTCTGACGGCGCAATCCAGAAGGTGGCTATGGCCGACGTCGCGGAAATAAAGAAAGCTTTCCGGGACCTCGCCGATTACAAGCCTCGTTTGACGTATGTGGTCTGCAACAAAGGTCATAAGGTCAAGTTCTACCCGATGAGACCTGAGGATGCCGACCCGACGTCCAACCCGAAGGCCGGAACCGTTGTCGATCAAGGAATCACGAGTATCTACGAATATGATTTCTATCTTCAGGCGCACTCGGCATCGCAGGGAACGGCTAAGGCGACTCATTACGTTGTGGTGTACGACGAGAACAAATTTTCTCCGGATACTCTGCAGCACGGAATTAACGATCTATGCTACCTTTGGGCACCCGCGTCGACCAGCGTTAGCCTCGCCCCGCCTGCGTACTGGGCGGACCGTGCGTGCGCACGTGCGCGCCTGTACCTCCACCGCATCATGTCTCCAATTGCGGGAAGCAAAGAGACGAAGATGTCGGAGAGGGAGCTTGAGTCGAGGGTGAAAGGACTGTGGGGTGGTGGAGTCCACGACGACCTCAAAGGTTCCATGTATTACATGTGAGTCGCTGTGAGTACGATAAATAAGATGCGAGTGTAAGAATAGTCAGATAATTTCTCGAATGACTGCTTAAATGTCTTAGCTGAATAGATAAAGTTAAATTGCTTGCTGTACGATTGAGTAGTATACTTGACCAATCGAAGTTGTATCGTTGAATTAGCATGAATGAATATGAAGAGTATGATTTGATCCAGTGAAATTGCTGACCAGCAATGAGACTTCAATTTTTTCTGTTTTATCCAAATTATTTTCCTTGCAAACGCCACCTGCTTCAGGATATTCAAATGTAATTGTAAATGTAACTGCACTCCTATATTAGGTAATAGCGCTTAAGTAGTCGGCTAACGAGAGTTAATTTCCATATCTGGCATGACTAATGAAACTGGTGATACTTAAACTTCGACTGAGCTTGCCATGCTCAAACGACTTGTTCTGCGTCGTTCGTCTGCGACGTCGCGCTCGTCGTCCTTGAGCTCGTCATCGCTGAGACTTCTTGCACAATGTCGGCGCCGCAATAACCTCGTTGCCTTGCCACCATCGACATCGATTAACACGTTGTCCAGATGCACACGCGTGACCTCTTTCCCCATCCTTCGATTCGGACGCACAGCATCCACCTTCTCCTTCCTCCCTTCATCATCAGCTTCTCCAGACATGTCGAATCTTACGCCACCACAGCCGCCACCAACATGGCAGCACAAACCTGAAGAGGTGCTCGACCTGTCAAAGAAGACAATTGATCATGTCAAGCAGATATATGATAGGGTTGGCGCTCTGGACGCTAAAGATTGCACGTTTGATTCGGTGAGGCAAGCATTGCGTATATATTTCCTACATATGCTAATGTATACTGGACAATTAGGTGTATGGTGCACTTGCCAAGGCAGAGGCAGAAACTCAGGTCCTTGACCCAGTTCTCTTCTACCAGAACGTCTCGACATCCAAGGAGCTCCGTGATGCATCAAATCAGGCGGAGACCCTTGTCAGGAACTTCCTTGTGGAGCTCGAGATGCGCGTGGATGTATTTACTGCAAAGAAGAATGCAGACGCCAATATCAAAGCTCAGGGTGTAAAACTCAACGTGGAGCAACGCAGGCTTATAGAGAAGATGTTACTAGACGGTAAACGCGCAGGTCTGGACCTTTCGGAAGACAAACGAAAGGTTTTAGAAGAGAAGAAGAAGGAGCTTAATCAACTATGCGTGGAATTTAGTGTACGACCACTACAATTTCTGTCACAGCCTTATCTCAGCTCATTTCTCTTTATATAGAAAAACTTCAACGAGGAAGCTGTATGCCGTTCTATCTTCGCGATTTTGATTCATAAATATTAATGACGTTTTAGGGAAAAATCTTCTTCACCGAAGAGGAACTGAAAGGCGTCCCTGCGGATGTTGTTTCGGGCTATGAGAAACGCGTTGAGGATTCAAAAGTCACTTACGGCGTAACTCACAAGACACCCGATACCTTCCCACTGGTATAACACTTTCTGTACCTCTGTTTATCCAGGCTTATAGTGCGTCCTAGTTCAAATACGCCCAAAATCCCGATACTCGAAGGAAGGCTTTCTCGAGCTATGAAAATCGCTTGGCCGTGAACGTACCGATATTGAACAAGTGCTTGGACTTGCGACGGGAAATTGCTCCGATTCTTGGGTATGCTACCTGGGCCGATTACATCACGGAGGAGAAGATGGCAAAGTCCGCAAAGAGTGTCAACGAGGTAATAATTCAAAGACTCACACTCATCCATCGTAATGTTTTTCCTAAGCACATATGTTCGGCAGTTCCTAGATGATCTCGAACAGAAACTACGACCCGTTGGTGTTAAAGATCGCGAGACACTTTTAGAGATGAAGCGTAAGGAACACGAATCAACCGGTCTTCCGTTTGATGGCGAGTTCTACATGTACGTGCTAGTCAGTCTTATGTATTGTGTTCCTTACGTTAAAGCTTTTGTAGTTGGGACTATCGCTATTATGACAGGAAATTCACAGAAGAGCGTCTTGCGCTGGATGACGCCCTCGTGAAGGAGTATTTCCCTGTCTCCTTCGTCGTACCTGCAGTTCTCGAGATCTACCAGAAGCTACTCGGCGTTCGGTTTGAGCCCATCAAGTCTACGGAACTTTGGCATCCAGGTTTGTTCTACTGTCTCCGAGACGCTCATGATTTATTGATTATCCTATAGACGCCGAACTATTTTCCGTATGGAGCGCTGATGCTAAGGATGAAAGCGGCTTCGTAGGGTACTGTTACTTGGACCTCTTCCCGCGAGGTACGTTTTGTGACGCTATCAGCAACTTGGTTTCTTTCTTAAATGTATATCTTTAGAGGCGAAGTACTCTCATGCGGCAGTCTGGCCGCTCATCCCCGGTTACGATATTGAGGGCGGGAAGCGAAACTTCCCCGTTGCAGCAATGGTTGCCAACCTTGCCAAACCAACACCAGAGAGACCCGCACTTATGCGACACGATGATGTCGTGACGTTCTTCCATGAGATGGGCCATGTCTTCCATGGGCTGTTGAGCAAAACTCAATATTCACGTTTCCATGGGACGAAGTTAGTTTACTTCTCGCTATTTCCGATATACCATCGTCTTACTGTTTCACTAGCGTTGCTCGTGATTTCGTAGAAGCTCCGTCTCAGATGCTGGAGAACTGGTACGTACGAACTATTACCTTTCTTGTACTGAAAGCGCTGACGCACGACCAGGTGCTGGGAGCCTAAAGTGCTGAAGTACATGTCGCAGCACTTCAAGACAAAAGAGCCCCTGTCGGATGACCTTATTAAGAAGATAATTGACAGGTTTGTTTATAATCACTCTGTTAACGGGCATAGGTCTAATAACAGTTAAGCCGATATGTAAACATTGGGCTATACTACCTCAGGCAACTTTTCTTCGCCAAGTTCGATATCAAGGTTCATACAGACCAAGGTACCGTCCTGTTTTGAAACCCGCATTCCTAAGTTGCGTAACTCTGTACGATAGAACCGACGGACTATACGGCATTATGGAACAACCTTAGGACGCATATATCCTTGGTCAAGGGATCCAAAGAGCCAGAACCAGGTCAGGGGACGTTCGGTCATATCACTGGGGGCTATGATGCTGGTTATTACGGGTAAATCATTTTCTACTACTAATCCCGTTCTTATCCGTAATTTGCTAACTGCAATGTGTGAAGGTACATGTATTCCCTCGTATTCGCCGCAGACATGTACGCCACTGTGTTCAAGAAGGATCCGCTGGATCCTGCGCTTGGACAGAAGTACCGGAAGGAGATCTTACTTCCTGGTGGAAGTAGGGATGATCTTGATTCGTTGAAGGTAAGGTCATCTTCGAAGTGGGGTATCTCCAGTACTAATGTATCTATTTCTCTTTTCTAGGCGTTCTTGGGTCGTCCGCCGAACTCGGAAGCTTTCTTGAAAGAGCTGTTTGGGTCGTCTTGAGTCTGTGAGGAAGGCGTTTACAATAGAGGTTGTGATCCAGTAGTTCGTTAAAAATAGAAATACAAGTTTCGTCTATGCCGCACGTGTGGATCCGTATCTCAGGTAATACGGTAGTACAACGGCGACTCGGCGGTATTATGCGTTTTCAGGCTACTGGGCTCGTATTTATCTATTTATTTAGCAATGAGTAGCTAGTGGTGGTCTATAAAGATAACATGCTCTTGTCTTCTTAATAAACTAAGCATGCACAATGATTCTTTCTTATAAATTCGGAGTAGGGACAAGATAGCTATAAGCATCTAAACAAGGGATGGTAGCTGAGATGAATACACGCAGGAACAACCTGTTTCACCTGGCCTTATCTCCGACCATCGTGAATTGTGACTTAATTCAGACGGGATTCACCAAGCACAGTGACCGCCATCTATAACGATACTACAATAGCATCAGGAAATCTGGAACAGTAGGACAACACTAACGTCACTTACTCGGTCCCAATGCAGAATGTTGATGCATCCGATGCCAGCCACACGATAACACCCCTCAATTCAGCTGGTTTTCCAAGTCTGCCGAGAGGGTTCTGAGACCTAAGAACCTTCTCCGTTTCACCCATGAACGATTCTGTCGCACTTTACGAAGAGCAGTTAATAACACTTCTGGACCATACAAAGTGGATAAAATAATAACACCTACTCTGTATAAAAGTATCCTGGCGATAGAGAATTCACCCTGATTCTGTAAGATGCAAGTTCGCACGCCATAGAACGAGCCATTTGAATGCAAGCCCCTTTTGAGCAACTGTATGCAGTAGCCTGGAATTCTTGCAATGCCACGCTTCCGGCAGCAGATGCGACAAGTACAATGCTTCCCGGTACCCCAAACCTTTTCATCTGCCTACCAGCTGCTTGAGCAGTATAGAACGTTCCGTTCAGATTAACGTCGATGACCTTCTCGAATTGGGTTGCCGATATATCGAGACATGAACCCATGCCAGCAATCCCTGCATTTGCAACGCAAACATCGAGTCGTCCTTCTTTTTGGGCCATGCTTTCTATGGCTTCACCGACTGCCTTCTGATCGGAGATATCTACGCTGACGTATTCAAGACAGGCGCTCCTTACGAGGCCGAGTTTAGAGACGTAAGACTGTGTTGCTAACCAATCTTCGTTCGGTGCCTCACTGCTAAGCAGTAAACGGTCGCGCCAGCCTCGGCAAGCGCTTCGGCCATTTCTAGTCCAAGACCTCGACGCCCTCCAGTGACGATAGCTACTTTTCCTTCGAGAGAGGGGGGAGATGGACGTCGATGTTGAGCTTTCTCGGTCAGCGTACATTGCCCATTTATATTGCCTATGAAGATAGGAATGATTTAAGACGTAAATACCAATGAAAACGATCTTCAAATGCGAGCAGCGTGAAGGACGAGTCTATTCCTAGGTCGGAATAGCCACTAAGTTACCTTATAGTAATTGCTTGGCTGAATAGCAAGTGACATAATGCGCAACGTTATATCTTGAAAGACTTGCCATTCGGGACTGAGTTGTCACCGAAATAGATTCAAGATTGTCCAATATATTGCCACTCTTTGAATAAATCAAGTCACCTGAGAGCGCTGTCGTAAATGGCATTACGGAAGTAAGATTGGAAATGTTGCGTTTGTACGTTACTTTGTGAAGGATCAGTTGAGATTCTGCACTGGACAAAAGTATCGATTTCGAGAGCAGCTTTCGCTTCTCGCCAGGAGTTGGGATGGTGCTGACTCACTGAAGGCATTAATACCGTTCTTCCTCTAGTGCCATACTTTTTTAAGTTCATGTAACCGATACTTGTCCTTTGCTTCCTCTCCCATTTATGCCTCCTTGAGCTACTTGCCGAACTCTGTGGTGTGATGGAGAGTCATTTGTGGGTTCTTAAGTTAATGCCGGACTGACATTAACAGTAAACCTGTGTTCACTGCCGGTGCAGGTACAAGATCACGCTTTGAGCAATGACAACGCAGAATTGAATGCCAAATGTTGGTTACCTGACGTATTCAGTAATTTCAGTTCGTTAATACTTACACTATGTAAGTGACTGTGACAGCGGAGCTTATATAAACGCCAAAGCACGTGACAGAAATCAGTACTTTTGGCAAGAACGAGTCGCTACTGCTTAACGACTTATCATCTCTCTTCCGTGTTCTCGCCTAAGTATTCCCCAATCTCAGTTGACACAACTTCATTTCTAGCCGTTATTAACGAGAAACTGGATTTCTGGCATGTCTCGTTTTGTTCGAGCTTCAAAGTACAGGTGCGTCGTTATATTGCACGAGAACTACGTTGCTTTTGACTGGAGAAAAGACATGTCTACGGTCAGGCGGCAAAGAAAGAGCTATGCATCGATAATATCAAGATTTCTAACAATGCCTGGGACACGAATGTGGTAGCCGCATCTGGGGTGAATTTTTAACTTTTTGAAGCACATGGGCAATGCTGAAGTATTCTCAGCAATACCTCAGTGTGAACTGGAACGCATCTGGCGGAGGCGCTTTCTGTATCCTCCCACTCCCCTCACCATTCGAAGCCCATAAGCTACCGACAAAACTGCCTGATGTGATTCCGCTTGCTCGAGGACATATTGCACCTGTTCTTGATACGGACTGGTCTCCCCATGACGACGCGCTCGTCGCCTCCGCAGGTGATGACGGACAGCTTTTGCTCTGGAAAGTAGAGGCGGGCACATTCGATGGCTGGGGAGAGGACAAGTGGGAACCGCAAGATTTTGACCCTGTGCTACGTATCGCTGCATCAAGCCGCAAGGCTGGTCAGGTCCTTTTCCACCCCACCGCAAAGCACGTCGTAGCCGTCGCGACGGGAGATCATGCAGTCAAGCTCTGGGATATCGCGATTGCGGAAGATCCACAGCGCGTTCTAGGCGGACACACCGACGCGATTCAGAGTTTCGCATTCGACTTTACGGGTAATCTTGTCGCGACAACGTGTCGTGATCGCAAGCTGCGGCTCTTTGATGCGCGCACTGGCGGAGACGCAGTGCGAGTTGCCGAGTCTCACGGTGGGATAAAGGGTGCCCGTGTAATCTGGATGGGCAATCAAGATCGTCTTGCTACGACTGGTTTCAGCAAGATGAGCGACCGCCAAATCGGTCTCTGGGAGACCGGATCACTGAAAAATGTGAAAATGACGACTGTTGATCAGTCGAGCGGCGTTCTTATGCCATTCTTCAGCGACAATAATATCCTCTTTGTTGCCGGCAAAGGCGACGGTAATATCCGATACTATGAATACGAGCACGAGGCATTGCACCCACTCTCAGAATATCAGTCCAATCAGCCACAGCGTGGAATGTGCTTCCTCCCTCGAAGAGCACTCAACGTATCTGAGTGTGAGATTGCACGTGCCTACAAACTCTCGGGAACTTCTGTTGAGCCCATCTCCTTCATCGTCCCGCGAAAGTCCGATTCCTTCCAGTCCGACATCTACCCACCCGCACTTTCGTCTGAACCCGCACTTACTGCAGGCGAATTCTTCTCCGGTAAAGCAGCCCCACCGAAACTCGTCTCTCTTGAGTCAGGTGCTATCTCAGCATCCGATGCTCCCTTCACACCAATTGCTCCTGCTGTCTCCGCGCCCTCTCTCTCGCAGAGTGCTAGCACTTCGAGCATACAGTCTCCTCTCGCAACTAAGACGACTAGTGCTCTTGCTCCAGAGCCAGTTAAGAAGGCCAGCTCACCAACTCCAGCACCAATAATCTCCGAATCTCCAAAAGCTGCTGCAACTCCAGTCAATAATGGTGCCGACGAATCAGTGCGTAATATGCTCTTGTTTCTTCGGGAAGGAACGGAACTTTCAACGGTTTCTGACACTTCGTTTCAGGCACTTAGAGAAGAAAATGCCCGACTCACTGTTGAACTCCGCGACGCGCGTGAGCAAATTCGGAACCTTGAGCTGCAAGTTGAGGGCTTAAAGGTGAACGCGCAGAAAGCGAAGGCTCTTCTGGCCTAATGTATTATCTTTCTCGCAAACCCGTATTTATTCGCCGTGTTTGGACGCAAAGTTGCTTAAACGTATTTTCTTAATGGGTGTTGCGTTCCGAGGGTAAGGGTGAATTGGCGTGTATTCATACCCAACATGACATTAAATTGAGTGTAAGTAATTTTGCGAAGCAGTGATCTGAACATTATCTGTCCAATTTTTCGGCGATTATCAAACAAATAACAAGCTAGCAACCCAATTTCGAATGGGTGCCGACGTAATCAGGGACGAACTATTCACTGTTTATACGCACTCTCACGATTTAGCTGCTATCAGGAGTTATTAATGAACGGAGTGCTTACTTCGATCAGTACCTTAGGTTTCAACAATACCCGTCCTTTTTGGTCTTGGTCGTCAGTCTTGGCCATGGCAATCTCTCGAATGCCTAGCTCCAGGGTACATGCCACCAGAGTCTGGCGGGAGGGATCCGATGATCCAATGCGCTCATCCTCATCCATCAAGTTTCCATTGAAGACAAGCCTTGGCTTTACCCAGTACACGTCAATGAACACAGAGAAAATATTCGTTTTGATTTTATCGGAAAGTTCAATGGCTGATTCAACGATTCCGCACTCGGAAATCAGCTTCGGTATGTTGTCCAGGAACGGTGACGATGCACTTTCACCGCCAAGGTGAAATATAGCTTGAAAATGGATTGCCAAGTTGGACTGCCACGACGATACGAAGTGCTGAATTGCGGGTGCCGGTCCGTTCGGCGTGCTTCTCAACACATACGAGTAGGTCAAAGCCCTCCAATGCAGTGCAATCGTTTGTTGATCTTTGAGAGGACCAAAATGGTAACTCGCAATCCGACGTAAACGACTGGACTGGATACTTACCGTGCCAGATCATGTTCCAGAAAATATTCTGATGTGTGACATTACATTGTCGATGAGAACCCGGGCAAAACGTTTCGGAAATGATGGCGTGTACGGAATATGAAGCCAGTGTCTGAAGTGCATCGGTAATGTACCCTTCAACCTCTTCGAGTGGCGAGCATGCTGCCCCGAGTTGCCAAATCATACGGTAGAGCGTTTCTCCCAAAATGCATCGCAGGGATTGGTGATACTCGACCTTGAGTTGAACATCCGACCCAGGAGGTCGGCGCGAGGAACGCTCTGTCCACTCTTCGGCGACGTTGAGAGCAGCATCCCTTATTTTGTTGTTTAAAGCCCTGCAATCTGCAACGATCTCGCTCTCCGAGCAGCGATCAGCTCTACTATCAAAGAGCACGCTTGCTGGGTTGGTGTTATTTCTACTTTCGTGAATCTCCCGTTGTGCGCCTGACAACATTCGTTCTGGCGTTGACGATAAAGCATGTGCGTTGTCCTTGCCCCTGTGAAAATAATTAATGAAAAGCGACAGAGGAATTGTCATCACGTTCTTCAAAGAACTGACAAGTGATTAGGGACTAAAGGTGAGCGTGGACAGTCGTTCATCATAAGAACACACCTTCGCACTACATCCCAGAACATGCTCAGTCTGCCATTAACTGCCCGAGGTTTCATATATGGTGAATAGCTGTCAGTCTGAGTTGCTCGTGTTTCTCGAATTGGAGGCATGCGTCAAATGTTTAGCACTATATGTGTGACAGAAAGTCCAGCATAGCTGCACCAACTAAAAGTATATTTTACCTTGCGTCCAGATTCAAAGTTTTGCTCGTTAGTCAACCTGACTGTTGAAAGGATAGTGCAATAGAAATGGAGCGAGACCAAAGATGATGCAGATATAAAGAACAGCATGTCTCAAAATCTCAAACAACCATGTCTCAGGCAGTGAATCACAAGCTATCGGCATGTCTTGGTGCATATTAAATATGACTTCAATAGTGAGTGAATGTCTACACACACATCCTCTGTAACGACTTTCGTTGACAACCTATACAGCACACGATGAGTACCACCCATAAGCTTCCTCGATTCTTGAATCTCCGGCCGCACCAAGGACCCACAACAGACCTTGTGATCGGTATTGATATCGGAACAACTTTTAGTGGCGCTTCATATGCTATTCTCAGGCCAGATACGATTCCAGAAATTCAGCCAGTTTCAAGGAAAGTACAATTTTCTTAACTAAGTACTCGAGCAACGTCAATCAAAACAATTCTACAGGTTCCCTTTCCAGTGTGTTGGTGACTCCAAAATTCCGTCAATAATGTACTTTGATGAGGGACTGAACCTCAAGGCTGCAGGAGCGTTGGCGACAACTGAGACAACTGAGCTGGAGGCATTGTGTGAGAATTGGATAAAAGTCGAGCAGTGCGTCCCTATATGCAGCCCTTCTGAATGTATACAGGCTGATTTCACGTATTGCAAAGTTTTAAGATGCATCTCCGCCCGCATAGTATGCACATCGACACAAACGGACTTAAGTTGGGCACTTTACCTCCTTCGATGACTGCTACCGAAGCAATGAGCCACTTTCTCGGTTATCTTTATGAAGAAACCGTCAATTATATAAAAACATACGAGCTAGGTGGAGATGACCTGATCAAAAGTGCCGAGGACCGTATTGTACTTGTTTTGAGCCACCCAAATGGCTGGCATGGTTTACCGCAGCAACACATGCGTGAAGCGGCAATTTTAGGAGGATTGATACCTGATTCTGCTGCAGGACGCTCTCGAATCAAGTTCGTCTCTGAGGGCGAAGCGAGCGCACTTGCTTGCCTTGCTAATGGACTCTGCCCTCCAAATCTGCAGGTAACGCGCATACCACCCAAGCTGTACAGCCTCAGTAATTAATAATGATCGTTCAGGCCGAATATCGCTTCATGATTGCGGATGCTGGAGGTGGTACTCTTGATATCACAACATATGAAATCACGCAAGCTTCTCCGTTGGAACTCAAAGAATTGACCTCTTCTGACTGTAGGCATTGACTCTTGTTATGGTTCTGTTTATTCAACGTGGTACAGGTTTCTTTGCTGGTGGTATATTTGTCAACACGCGGATGCGCGACCTTATAGAAGGTAAGCCACATTTAGAGGGAATCAGTTTTAGGTGAACTTTGTGCCGTAGAAAAACTTCGCGGAACGCATTTTGATAATCCAGACGAACTGACTGACATTGTTGACAAGAAATTCGAGCACTCGCTGAAACGGGAGTTTGATGGCCAGAGACAAACCATGCGGATGCAAATTGGACCTCGTCGCGAAAATGACCTGGAGCGAGGCATCAAGAAAGGTGCACTTGCAATTGACAAGTATGCAATTCCGTATCCCTTCCCCTGCTCTACTGCTTTTCCGTTCGCGTTTTACACATGGATACAGATATGAGCTAGCAAAATGCTTTGCATTCTCCGTAGACAACTTACTCAAGTCCATCAAGAATCAGGTCGAGGCATGCAATATCAGAACGATTGTGAGTTACAAATGACTTTGCACATCAACCATGTTAACTTTTGAGTCAGCCAGTGTGGTTGGTTGGTGGCTTCTCAGCTAGTCCCTGGCTTTTCAGAACAGTGGGCGAAGCTTTGAAGGAACAAGGCATTTCCATTAGCCGACCAGATACAGTTTTGTAAGTAACGCTTGTTCCACAAGTGTTGCAGCGAGCTCACAGCTGCATACTAAAGGGCAAAGGCTGTAGCAAACGGCAATGTACTGTACGCCCTAGAAAACACCGTCACTAAGCGTGTCACTAGGGCAGTATATGGAGTCAGTTGCAACACACCATACAATCCCTTTAATCCGGAACATGTTAGGCGCAGTCATCTCTGCTTCAAGACTATAGATGGCACGAGGAAATTACCATCACGCTTTAGCATAATTGTGAACAAGGTACGCCAGGGTTGACTTGTACAGCTCTATGTGACATAGAGACTATTGCATTCACAATACATATTGTTTTTTAAGGACGTAGAGGTGCAAGATTCAGAAATGTATACACAGTCTTACATGTGGCTGGCTCCGAATCCGGTAGAAACGGAGCACGAATGTAGGCTGATATGCTACAATGGCTACTCTCCTGCACCAATGTGGTATGATGAGAATAAAGGTGTGTAGATGATGCAGATTTATAAACCATTGGTCAACAAACACACATCAATTTATCTATTTAGACTTGTTCTCCAACGTGTGCACAATCAGAGCCGACCTTTCGAAACTGTTTCAGCCGGAGCTGATGGAAACGTATGAAGGAAGGAGGTTTTGGCGCATTTATTTCGATATCGAAGTCAGTTTTGGTCAGGTAGAACTCCAGGCGAGGATTAAATGGGTAGAGAATGTGAGATTTACTATACTCACGAAAACACAAGCTAATTACACACTTTCAGGGAGTGGAAAAGTAGTAAGTGGATTCTCTGTATAAATTGAGACAACTTCTTACCTTAATTACAGTGGGCCTGCATCTATTTTTTACGATGATTAACATCCTTGCCACTTGACCAACCGTATCAGTTTGCTGGCAAACTCCAGCATCATCATTTACAACTCTCCGATCCGTTCTCTCGTATATTGCTGGCGTCGAAACCCATACACCTGTATCGACTGCCTCTTGTTAAATAAAACCTTTATATTCATGCAGAATAATTGCAAACAATCAATCATTATTGGTGCCTCTTCTCCACCAAAATGCGTACAATTGAGATAATGACTGTCTGACACTAAGAGTCTAGCAGGAGCAAGTGTGTTAAGCCCGATGTACTGTACCCCCATGATGCTCCTAACGAATCACAATAGCCTTTTTTGTCTTGTGCCAAATGTGCAGGTTATCTTGGCTCTTGTTTGTGAACCTCGAAGTTGAGTTTTGCATCCCAAATGTGTGCGAAATTCAAATACGGTACGACAGGCTCGGTTGATGGCGTGAGAATCTGAGTAAGGTGAGAAAATGATTCTCACGCGCCTTCTACACTGTCCACCGTTTCTAAACTAAACACAGCACAACTATCATGAATTAGAAAATCCATCTCAAGTTGATTATCCATTTATCCATATCATCTACACTAGCAGTTTCACAGCAATTGAGGCGGCAGGTTCCCAGCACTTCGAACATTGAGTAGAAGTGGTTGTATGTCTCTTATTCTCGATCATCGGTCCCTATAAAGAAATTGCTTGGGGGTTAATGTTGTCAATATGTTCTTCAATGGGCGAGTTGACGCTCAGGCTCCCCTAGACCTGTAGACTTTGTCAGATTTATATTGATGAGGCGTCTGCTGAGTGGCTTGGTTATGGCGACTGTTGCGGTCGAGGTCAGCTGAGTGCTCTGGCATTGACCTCCGATGGACGGTGCGTGTCTTGGCCCCAAAATTAGTGAAAACGTAACTTGGAGCATCTTTATAGAATATACTGCAAGGAACGCTAACGGAATGAGACCGTGTCTACTGTTCCGGGCCGTCGTCTCCTGGTACGGTCAAGAATCGGACCATCTCCCCTCTTTATCAATTATGTCGGAAATCTAGGGGTACTTGCTTTAAATGATTCACCTTGCATGGCTTTAGATCGAGGTCTTTCTGGGACACCAAGATGCTATCACTCTGTGATTCTCTTTCGACCTTCTTGCAAATACTCCAGGAACCCAACTGAAGAGTATTAATTGCCCGTTCATTGTTCTAGTTGACTGTTGCTTTAACGAAGAAGCTTGTGGAACAGGCAAGCAGTGTAATTCTTGGCTTTTCTATCTGTTCCCTAGTCTTCGCAAGTTGTAACAGAGACAATAATTGATAACAGGTATTGATCGTAGAAGTCAAGAAAGTTGAAGCATCTGGAAGCCATCTCGATATTTTTACAAAGGAAAATTCGTAGACGTTGCGTATTACGTCCCTTGTGGTACCCGGTTTTTTCCTGCCTCAGAGTCCTGACGTTAATCCCAACGCCCAGCTCACAGCGCTGCAAAGTTGCTCTGATCAATCGCACTATTCCGTTTTAACGTGAGCAATCACATGCATATGACTTGTTCAGTCGTTAGATTCAAGCTGCCTCAATTTTCTCTTTTGCAGCGTGTTGTATATGAACATTTTGGTAATCAGTCATAGATTTTTTAATGATTGAGATGCTGCCTTTCTGTTATTAATTCGCTGTGTGCGTGTTTGGGACACCCCTTATGATATCTCATGTGAAATCTCTGGAAAGTTATAATATGCCGATGGTGTATGTAGGTTGTATTCAAAATCCTTGGACACTCGTCAAAACGCTCACAGTGACGTTAGACACGAACCCAAGATCTTCATATGGTGATTGGGTTGATGATTCCGGAAACTTGCGGTATGGTATGGTATGGTATGGTATATTTCCTGGCATGCGGAGATCTTCATCTTCTTCCTATCTTGGGCTGCCAGTATGCTGACTGGGGATGCGCCTAGCCTCTAGGTATTAATTTCCTGGAGACAAGTTCTTAATGTGACTGAATACTAAATAATTGTAAATCGGCCAATGGCATTGCAATTCTTCAGTATGGATCTGTAACCAAGCCTTGTAAGCAGAACGAGCCAGTCAAGAATGACGATCAACTTTAACATTTAATATTGACTATGACAGGCTATTTTGGGGGTTTTCTGGTTACACAAGCATCAACACATTCGGACATTCGGTAGTTAAACACGGACACAGGGCACAATATTGACCATTTCCAATATGGCTGCAACATGCAAAGACGACACAGTTACACTCGACGCCGCAATGCTGCCGTCGGTCCGTCACTGCACTCATTATCAATTACTGCACGTTCAGCAACGACCACCGGTATTGTTGTTGTTGTTGTTGCCACTGTTGGTGTTGTTGCTGTTGTTGTTATTGTTGGCGTTGTTGCTGGTGTTGTTGTTGGAAGAGTTGTTGTTGTTGCCGGATTGAGAGGACATTCTGTCACGTTGTGGACTCGTGTAGAGAAATCCTATAAATAATCGAATACTCAGTTCTTTCGATAAAAGAAGGAGGAGAGTAAGTATTATACAGAATACTCTGTGTCGTTGTTGATCACGTCACTAATATTCCGTGCGGATGACTTTCGGATCTGGATGAGGAGACGGAGGGTAAGCGAGATGCATACTGCATATAGTGGATAACGAAGTGCATTGACAGCACCTTTCTAGAGCACAGAAATGCTGGAGTTGTTAACGTTGGCTGACAAGATTTCGCAAATGGGTGCTGAAGTCAAATGAGCTTTTCTAGCCCGCCTTTTATAGACCTTTTGAGGCTCAGAATTACATATGATACACGCTGCTGCGTTGTAATACAATTATTAGAGACGATTAAGAGTGCAGCAGTAACCCCAAAGCTGATCAAACAATTATCCGGAATTTAACCAATATGTATACAAAAACCTGCCCGAATCAGTACTTAGCAATGGAAGTGGTGCGAATGGCGTGGAACGTGTAGCTGGAAGAAGGAGAGGTGGCGTTAGATGGGAGGATTATAAGGTTTTTGCATATAACTATCATTTCAGTCTAGCAATTTTTTTATGCATTGTAAATGGCTGACGATTTTCTTGTGATAGCTATAGCCTGAAATTCATCCATGATGCTTCTATGTCGTTGAGAATCACATGTAGACAGTGACTAGACACAATCTCTGTGTGTGCCAGAAAGCTCGCATGCATACTTCTCTGATGACTGTGTAGGCATGGACAATAAATGAGGATAAAAATGATTGTATTCTGGTGAAAAATAAAGGAGACGCATTATGCATTGTCGTCTTTAGTTGCATAACTGTCTGATTCCGATTCCTCTGAGATAATGTAAGGTGTATGCATCATTGTTCTTTGACTATTTCCATTTACTTTCGGACTGGATGCCTAATCCGGTAATAGTATATCAAGCCTTCAGCCACAACTCGCACCACCTCAGCCTCGTATTTCATAGACTAAGGTGAATATTTTCGTTAATTCTAACATTATATTTACTGTATTTCCATGTAGCTATAGCTCCAAAAGCGGATACTACAATAGAGTCTCATATTTCAATAATCGGACTATAATTCTGCAAATTTGATTGCCAATTTATGCTGAAATACCTTCTTTAATATCTTACTGGGTAACCTTGGTCAGCCTAAGTACTCAATTGTTCGTTCCGTGTTGTCTTTATGGAGTAGCCTCTTCCTCAGCCTCGCAGATGATCAAGAACAGAAACCTCAGACAGTCCATTCATTTTGTTCGATTTTCTCATACATACAATATAGGAGCATAATACGAACTTGTTCAGTCATACCTATTGCCTTATCACGCACGAAGACCCACGTAATAAAACATCTCGTACTCTCTTCATTTGCGAATCCTATTCACTGGCAATCGCAACATGATTATACATACTACACATTCTTCGGAGCCTGTACACACTGCTACTGCTTCCCTTGCTATTATCCTGAGCTTCGCAAACCGCGAACCCGTGAGATGCGCCAATAAGAAGTTAAGAACCTAGAAGTGGCCATCGTGCATCTTCTTGACGAGAATCTTTCCGCACGGCAGCATAAGTCAGTCGGGAACGTATGGTCGATTCCCGAGTGTAGTTTTATTCAGTAGTATTCCAATACAGATAAAATCGACGCCCGTGCAGGAAGAGCAGGCTTCGGTTGCAGTACGTAACTTGGTTATAGAAGTTCTCTATCCATCAAAGCACGATAACAAAATGGTGTTCAATGAGTCCGCGGATGAAAGCATCAGGGATGTTGATTGGATATGTACAGTAGAATATTACTTGCTATATCGAAGAAATCCCTCTCGATCGGGCATGCCGAATGAGCAATTGATCCTTAGAGACGAAGAATTTTTTTTCCATTGTAGTGCGTTCGTAGCTCTGTTACCGAAGAGCTTGTCGACAACTATCCTTCCTGTTGAGCCTACCTCAAGGATGTAAGCATTGTGAGGTGCTCCGAAGTAGTGGGTTCATTCAGATTAGAGAATGTCACCGGTACTGTAAAACACCGACATCGAAGTATTTCGTTCTCTGTCCGGTAGAGTAATTTGTTATTCTGCCACAATATGATCAAAATTAAGGCATCCACGATGCCACGCCATGGCTCTTCTTTGGTACAGTTGAAAATGTCTTATTGCATCACATCATAATGCATAAATGGCATAATGCATAGACTTTTGGCCAGACCAAAACTCAGGTCCTCAGCCAAAATGTATTGTCATAATGCATAAATTGTATAATGCATTGGGTTTAGCCCTCTCCCAACGTTATGCAATAAGACATTTTCAACTGTAGTCTGTTCGTCCTCAGCTTACCAGGCATTACTCCCTAGCGCGAGTGTACATACAGTTGCCAAAGAAGTGGTCGAGAGGAACGACATCAAGTTCTGTGGGAATAGGATGTTGAAAAAATGGCTTGGAAAGGAGAACATTAATATACCATGAGGTGCTGGATAACTCTGAACAAGCGTGCCGTCGATAACAATGGTCCCCAAACATTCGCATATTATAGAACAATATCATACCTTTCGCAGAATATCGTCGGAACATCCAATCCGGGCGTCCTTCGTTTGCTTCTCTCCCAAATGACTTCTTTTCCTAATTCGCCATATATTTCCATTTGAACAATGTATCTGCGTAGCTCCTCATCGGCGTTGCAAGGTGGACATTCTAGAAGGCGTGGAATCCGCAAGGTAGACCGCCTTCGGAGATAAAATATCGGCGGGATCATTGAATGAATATAGCCATGGGATGCACCCCTTCGTCGTGATCTCTGTACCAATCATGCACCCATTGTCCACATTCCCACTTATCTAGACGCTCTCTCTTTGTACTTTCTCTGCCCGAGAGTGGACATCCTTTAATCCAGTCTTCTCACTGGTGAACTTCGTTTCGCTGTGAAATATACTGCGCTTCCCAGCATAGTGCTAATAATAATGACAAGTGATATGATTCGTAGTTGGACTCCGGCGTATTTCCATCCCGAATCCTACATTACGATTCATCATCAGAACTTGATACAATCCTGTATCCGTCTGGAGCATACGGAACAGCAGTTGCCTAGATATGGTGACTCTTGTGAAGATCAGTACCAAGTATGCTGTTCTGTGCGTCCAAGATCCGTATCATTTGAAAATATCTGATAGAGGTGTTTGGGAGCTAGAGGGGCAGAGTGGATGATCACGCCAGTTATCGTCGCATCGCGTTTGGCTGCACATCTGAGCTTCGTGTTTTTTTTAATGCTCAAGTTCAACACCCAGTGGGGGTCATCATCAGAGTTCTTTAGGATTTGAGGGCATCAGAGAATCTCCGCCTCACATTGTAGAAGATGCATGATCGGTTCCAGACTCGAAGAGACAAGTTTTGAGTGGTCACTGTCAACACGACCGTCACACTGTGACCTCGTCGCGCTCGCACTGCACTGCAAAAAATTTACGGTATCTGCCGCACTCGGCTGTCCCCTTGCGCTCCTGCTTACTCGAAACAATGCATTGCCTGTCACAGCAGCCTGTGGCACAGTGGCTATCACTACTCAACGCATGGTATAATTTCTACACCGTGGAATCAACCTGGCTCGGTAGGATAGACTTCGTCAACTTCAACTTATCGTGGCTTACAATCCATGATTTTTCTCTTCGCTTTCCTGTGCAGACAATCATCATATCTGCAATGGCGACATTCAAGGTCAACGACCCGTAATTTTCTCAGTAGAAAGTAGCAAAAGGAATATGATGCGGCTACAATGCGTGAAGTCCGAGCATATAGAAGAGGAGAGGAAATAGCAGGGGGAAGACGCGTACGGGACGGGAAAAATGGTATAGGTCGTGGCAAAAAGTGAAGCATGAGTTCTAACCAACTATCGGTTCTGGTAGACATTCAAATGTGCTTTGCCACCGAGATATATGTGTGATGAGCAAGCGCGTTTGAAAGGATACAAGTCTGGTTTATTGGATATTTATGACACAGCGAATCCGAGAAAGTATTTTGTGAATGGCATCAATAACTTCAAGGTTTGTCCGTGCTGTCGAGATACACCTTAGCCCAATCTTTTCCGTGACAGATCTTGCCCCAGTTTAGCTTCATGAACCGTCGTCCCCTGTCGTCTAGAACACGAACTTGGCCCTTCGTACATAAACTGGTTCGATGTTCTGGAGGAACCCACAAGAACAGTCCGTCATCTAATGTCCGGATCCATCCGTCCGCAGACATTCGTAATGGGTTCACTGTCTGTTCAATCCGTCTAAGCGGATAACATCTATCGTCAAAGATCGTTAAGTGAGTTCTCGTTCCATGGTCCCAGCGACTGTCATTCATGACTGATATTAGATTAACGAGGCTTCCATCACAACCATCCCAAATTCGTATTGTCCCGTCCCAAGAACCAGAAGCAATCCTATTCCCGTCGGGAGAATATTCCACGGCTACAATTTGCTCTTCATGCCCAGTGATTGGCTCACCGATGGGTTCGCCACTTTGCGAGTCCCAAATTCTCACTGTCTTGTCCTCGGACCCAGAAGCGATTCTGCTCCCATCTGGGGAAAATGCAACTGCGTTGACTCTGCTTTCGTGACCTTTAGGAGATTGACCGTTGGGTTTACCGCTTTGGACGTCCCAAAATCGCAGCGTCCCGTTTTCACATCCGGACACGATCCTGCTCCCATCTGGAGAGTATACCAATGTCCCAACTGTATCGCCATAACCATTTCGAGGCTCACCGCGAGCGGTAATGGATTTTCCATCATGAGCGTCCCATATCTGCAACGTGTTTGCGAAAGAATCCGATACGATCCTATTGCCGTCTGGGGAGTACGCGATCCCCCAGATCCAACCCTTATGACCTTTTAGAGGCCCGCCCATCGGAACACCATTCTCCGCGTTCCAGATACGCAACGTTCCATCTCCAGAGCTAGACACAATTCTTTTACCGTCTGGTGCATACACAACAGCGTGTACCGCATCAGTATGACCTTGAAGTTCGCCGACACAGACGCCGTTCTGTGCATCCCAGATCCTCAGTGTCTTGTCAGTGGACGCTGACACGACCCTGGTCCCGTCTGGAGAATATGCAACGTCCCAGATCCAGCTTCGGCGTTCATGACCACTGCGAGGCTCAACAAGGAGAGCACCAGTCTGTACATCCCAAATCCTTGGCTTTTCATCAGAACATGCAATTACTATTTTGCTCCCGTCCGGTGAGTATGCGATGGCATTGATCCCACTCATACGACTCTCAAAATCCTTGCAAATGGCTAGACCGTTTTGTGCTTCCCAAATCTGCAATCTCTCATCATATGACCTGGAAATGATTTTACTGTCATCTGAAGTATATCTGGCGGAAAATATACTACTCCTTTCTCCTTTGAGAAATGATATATCGGCCTCTCTCGACGGTACGATACCTCCGAAACGGTTCTTATACACTAGAGGTTCGTGCGAGACAGCCAACATCTGTACCGAGAAAGTGGAACTCAAATTTTGTGCGGTAAAGGATCTTGACGGGAACCATGCCAGGGCGGAGACGTATAAGTGGGGTGTGCTGGCAGCAATCGCATCTTGGAAGGAAGAGATGAAATCGTGCAATTCGGTTGCAGCGCGAATGATCTCGACCACGTTCTGACAGCAAGTTTGTAAGTTGAGAAATACCGAATCCACATACCAAAGTCGTCTTACCTTGAAATGGCTTGTACATTGCAATAGAATTTCCTTCCCTTTCTCAAGCAAACCCAGCAAACTCAATATTTCGATCCAAAATAATGCCTTTGGCGAGCAAAGTAGTTCCACAACGATGGTATTAAAAGTTTGGGCGTTATCTGCTTGCGAAATGTGCTCTATCCAATGTACGCTGCTGTGCGTGAGCGTTTCCGACACGTTTTTCTTAACCCTGGCGGATATATCTGTGACTGAGTGGTTTGCAAGATGAGAAGACTCCAGTCCGCAGATATTGAACTTGAGCTGCGTGTGCATAGTATGCAGGCAGTTCCGAGACAGGGCAATATTTAGCAATTGCACGTCCGTCCACAGCTGTCCCGCCCGACGTTTGTCCGACAAGAAAATTAACAACTCGCCCGACGGGAACATGGTGCGAAAACTACCACTCTGGTGCTTGAAAACAATGGGTTGAAGGGAACCTAAGATGGTTCGAAGCGTATCCAATTCGAATTCTGCATGGAGCGATCGTAAAATATACGGAAGCGTGTCGGAGGTTTGGGGAAAGAGCGTCGCCGACGAAATCACTACAAGTATGTTTCTTATGAGTGGTATTTCTCCGTCATCGTATCCTTCTCTCTGGAGAACGCCAAGAACAGCAGTGTGGAAGAATCTGTCGATCTTCGATTCTCCAGACAGACCTTCGGACAGGATATTGGTGTTGTCGATGATATCAATGTGAAAATTCTGGAATACCCAAGAAAACCTAGACAGAAGATGAGGTAGTTTGTACACATTGTCCTGGCCCTTTGGCTGCCAAGTTGCACCGTCCTCTGTGCAACATCGCACGAATGCAGCTGTATCGTTCTGTAGATCAAGGAGCGGATTGCTAATATCCAAGTGCTGTGCATCGTCCTGAAGAAAATGGACTTCCAACTCTGGCTGTCTTATGCTGCTTACAAAGACCTTCAGCCAGGGAGCTGCATTTGCGAGACGGTGGATATATTCGGCCAAGTGGCGTCTGGAGTTGACAGAATCGCAGCTCTCGTCTAATGCATCCAGAACAATAATGAGAGGCCTATGCTTTGGCGGAAGGCGAACGGATGACCCGCTAATTGGTTGAGAAACAAGAAGATCGAATTGACGTTGAATGCCTGCATAAATATCGAGCTCGCCACGGCTCTGAAGGATGTCAAGAATTATCGAACGGTAATCTTCGTGCCACTTAGCGAGTTGATATGCAATAGTAGGCATAATTGCTTTTGGAGACCGGCGGTCCGTATCGCTGCTGTCGCAAAAGAAGCATCCTGCAAGACGATGGTGCTCGTCGAAGATCTGGGCGACTGTATGCGCAATCGATGTTTTGCCAGATCCTGGAGAACCAAACAGCCAAAACAGCTTTGAGCTAGACATCGACCATTTTTCTATCGTTTCAAGCGTCTCCTTCCTTGATCCGTCGAGGCAAGTTCTGTCTAGGTCGTAAAAAGCATGCAATACGGGACGCAGGCGTGTAAGTGTTGTATCTCCCGCATACGACTCTAATACGATGTTGCGTGAGTCCTAAGGAGAAGGTACTGTATTGTTTTCTGTACCTATCTTCAAGACTGTCTTCCATGTTTCCGTTTTAACACACCAGTCAAATGTCTCTTTTAGCCTTCGGAGTTCCTCCTTGTGTGCGGTAACCTCGGTAATCCTGCTGCGGAGTAGTATACCTGACAGGAAGCAGGAAATTTAGGTTAGTTAGAAAAGTAGGCTACTGATAAGCGAAGCTAAAATCACCTAGTGCTGTTTCATCAGAATACTGGATTATTGTTCGTGATGTCCTTTCAAAGAGTTCGAGCAGGCTACGAGCAGTCTCGGCGGTGACATTGGCCTTTAAGCGATTCTTGGGAACCTCGACGAAAGGAAGGAGAGCTGCTATATCTGCCATTAGGGCTGATGCTACTTCATGACATTCTTTCCGCTTCTTGCATGCCTGAGGATAGATATCAGCAGGAGTACCATCCGGAGGAGCTCCATCAGTCACCTCATAAAGTAACGTTACTGCCGATACTGCTGCACCTGCAGCGGGGTGTATCTGAATGATTGGGACCAATCAGACCTAATTTCTCGGGGATACGAGGCTGGATGCATACGTCGGAGGTAGCAGAAACAGCGACAATATAGTTCAGAATTTCACAGGCCCTGGTGAGGTTTTCCATGAAGACTTTCATGTTATCCAATTTATTCTGAGTTTCTTGTACCAGGCAACGGATTAATTCAATAAACTGCGACGTTCAGAATTAGCCCACAATGCAGTAGTTCGTCTCATCTGTTTGATTCCTTATCGGTCCAGCGGTTTCACAGTGTATGATCACGGAAAGTTTTTTTCCATTTGGTTCTAGAGGAAACAAGTAAGGTAGATGCTTTCTCCAAGAGTACGGCACTCCTACCGTCAATGCTGATAATCGGTTTCATTATCACATCGTCCGTAACGGCCACACGCACTGTACAATCATCAACTCGGCGAACTCTATGGTGTTCTTGGACGGTAATAGCGAACTGTGACGGTGATGAAAGACATCTGCCAATAGAAGATAACGTGGAATTATCGTGATGTGCCTCCCTGCACGAACGGCTATAATACGTACTTATTGAACACCCAGTGAACTGTCTCGTTCACTGCATATCTGGGCGAAGCGTACTGCTCTTCTTCGCCAATCCTGACCCTGATTGATGCAGGTCGCTTTCTGTTGCCCTTGAACTTGATATCGATGCCTGATGGTGGAGAATTTAGAACGTCATTTGCGGGTCTACAATGAGACTTACTTTGAATGTGTATTGCGCTGAATAGTTATTGAAGATCGAAATGTTTCAGTCAGTCACTTATCTGAGACCGGACTGCTCACTTGAAGGCATCAGCGACGACAAGGTCGCTGGAAGCATTACTTTGGATGATGGACATTTCGATTTGTAGGAACTCGAGGAAACGATGTAGGGTCCAGCGGGGAAGATGCCAGATGGTTAACCGTAGGAGGAGGCAGTGTGTAAGGAATGTATTATTAGTTCCTGCTGAATCTATTGGAACAGCCAATTTATTTTGTTATCAATCTGACTCTGAGTCTAAGGGTTGGTTGCATAGCCTCCCTTTTAATTACACTGCTTGACACTGCTTGTCAGACTTTGAAAGATAGACACTTTTGCTTTCTACTTCTCTTGTCCCTCACATCTCACGTTCCTGTTGAATGCACACATAATAGCCCATCTCAATTCTGTTGCGAGTTGCAAGTTGCAAGGAAGCTCAGCTTTGTAGAGGACCCTGGTAAGGTTGATGCCAAGTTTCCTCACAACTAGGAAGAATTGAGATGATTGACTTGTGAATTTTGTGTCAATCAGATTTCTTGTGATTTGAGTGGACAAACAAGTAAGGGATACAAGAAACATTATTTAATTTCAAAGTCCAACAACTCACAAGCACTCCAGAGTGCTTGCAAGTTGTTGCACGTTTGACTACTACTTTAGGCAAGCACGCAACCCAATCCCCATCTTAACCACCTGATTTTCATCTTGGCACTTCGGCATTTTTGGCATATTTCTTACATGCTGTGCACAACTCACAACTTGCAAGAGAATTGAGATAGGCTATTGTAATTAGTATAAAATATTGGAATGAAGGATATGACACGTGCAAATTCTGGTTGAGGGAATCCAGGATCACAAGATACCATTCAAAATTGGTAGTACATTCTTGCGTTGGTTGAGCGTCAATCATTGAATCAATCATGCTTCCACTTCCTCCATGTGCGCCATGCACAACCTGCGTGGTACGTCTTTTTACCCAACGTAGGATATGGCAGAGGTAACATCAATGCGCTTCAGTGATCCGTGTCGACAATGTACGATGGGATAGGTCATTTCACAACAGAGTGCCAAATCTCTATGTTGAAATACGTCTCGGCAGTATTGTTCGGAGGACACGAACGGTCAGGGATAAATCGCACAGTTGGGCAGAGACCCTATCATTGTACGTCCACCATCCATTCAATTTCGACATCGAGAACTCACATCGCTAACGCAGTCCACCGGTTGATCCACCTACGATCTTTTCAATCAAGATACTGCATAAATCAGCAATCCCGTATCGTGATGATGTTTGCATCGGTTCAATAAATATCGAACTCGTGGAACTAATTAAATGGTGCACCAATGGCCCGAGTGAGTCTTTATCTATCTTCTGTCTACGAAATGCTTGCCTAAGCCAATATTAGGCCATCTTTCACTGGAGGCACCTGTAGGAAATGATATTGGAAAACCGGCTCTGATTATCCAATTATTGAACACGTCCATCGCACCCAGCGATCTTGAACCCGATGTTAATAATGCGATTCAAGCAGTGCGCGGACTGGGATGCTCTACCGAGGCTCTCAATACGGTACAGCAAGGACTGTCGTCGCTAAGTGAAGAGAGAGATCTGGGAAAGTCCGCATTGGCACTAGTACAAAAGACAGAAGTATTGGTCAACTTCATTGATAAGTTATCGACTGTACGTCCTTGATTTGCCATTTCTCGGGGCAAGTTCACTGATTATCAGTAGCTTCACCCGTATGTGAACGCGACTTGGCAGCTGGCGTCAGCATTGCACAGGGTACATTTGGTCCTGCCTAACGTATTTTGATGTACTTAGATGAACATGTTGTCTAGGTTATCTCTCATCAAATTGAGACCGACCGGAAGGTCATTGGACTTGTTCATGCGATGGAAGATGCATTCGACTTTGTCATCGATGCCGATTCATTGCCTGATAAGACCAAGAGGCTTAAGCAGACGGTTGAAAAACTGTTGCAACAGACGATCGAATGCTGTCGATTTGTTCTACACTATGTCAACAGAAGTTTCTCTGGTGAGCTAATAGTTTAGCTGCACACGACACTATTCAAAGAACGTCCATTGATAGCCAGAATGCTTCAAATGAGTCGACCAAAGGTGGACGAACTCGTTCATCGCTTTGCTGACCTGAAAATGGCTCTGGATCTCGACTTCGGGTTGCAGACTGCATTCGTGTCTGCACGGACGTCCGACGACGTTGAGGACATATGTATGTTCCGTTTCGCATTTCCTACGTTTTAATACTAATATCTAGCCTGGCCAGATTTCCGGGAATTACTCGAGCCGCTTGACATGAATGCATTTAATCGCAATACATGCCTTGAGGATACACGGGTCGAGGTCCTGAATGAGATAATGGACTGGCTCCTATCGGACACTACGCAAAATATCTTGTGGCTTCACGGTGTAGCGGGATGTGGCAAAAGCGCGATTGCCACGACTATCGCGGAATACTGCCGAGAAATGTCACGGCTTGGGGCTTTTGTTTTCTTTAGGAGAGCGGACGGCACAGAAGACCAGCTTATTTCGCTATTCCGAACAATTGCATTCCAGCTAGTGATGTTTGATTCGTCTATAGTGAAATACGTCAAGGCTGTGGTCAAGAAGAGTGACCATGTCACTGAGGCCGTCGCCGAGGTCCAATTCAAGAAGCTTCTTTTGGACCCACTTACTGCAGCGCGGGACGAAATGCAAGGCCCTGTCGTGATTATCCTCGATGCATTGGATGAATGTGGTACACCTGAGGCTCGAAGGACATTGATGACACTTCTTAGACGGGAGTTTGGAAGGCTGCCTCCTAATTTCCGATTCCTCATTACAAGCCGACCAGAGGCTGATATCAATGTGGCATTGTCGCCAAATGTAAATAGTTCTGTATATGAACTTGCCTTAGATTCGCGCTCGGATAATAGCCGACAAGATGTTCTGCGCTATATTGATCACGAGATCAGCGTCATCTTCGAGGATTTAGGGCTCGATATACCGGATGAATGGGGCACATATATGGATCAGCTTGCAGAGGCTTCAGAGGGCCTGTTCATTTGGGCGTCAACAGCGATTAATCTGATTAAGGGCAACCCCAGCCCATTTGACGAACTCGAGAGTATTGTTGGGAAGTCGCATCTACTTCGCGGTCTCGACCGGTTGTATGGATCGATCCTTAGGAGCTCTGGAGTCGTTTCAGAGTGCTACCCCGCATCTATTACTCACTTCTGTCAAATATTTGGTCTCATCCTATTGAGCAATGCACCACTTTCGGACACTGCGATTGATTCAATCCTAGGGTTATCGCCCAGAAACTCAGCACGATTAATTCTTTCCAAATTGCGGAGCGTTATCGCTTTCACCCCTGGAGAGCCTGTGCATCTTCTCCATACATCATTTGCCGACTATCTCTTATCAAAGCCTTGCCCAAAGCCATGCTTGGCACACAAGGGACCCAGTGACTGTCTGTCCGGCCGCTGGTTCATTGACGAGTCTTCCCAACAGTCGGACATTGCTATGCGATGCTTCATTGTTATGGAGGAAGCGCTTCATTTTAATATGTGTGATCTGGAATCGTCTTTCATATACAACAAGGATGTCACTGGCATCGAGGATCGTATAAACAAGAAGCTAACGCCGCATCTACAATATGCGTGCAAGTACTGGGCACAACACGTCGTCAATGCACCGTACTCACGCGAGCTGTTGGATGAGTTAACGAAATTTGCACGTAAGCGGCTGCTGTACTGGTTTGAGGCGATTGGACTACTAGGCCTGGTACGTAGTATCGCGAGTCGGGCGCTCCTGGACGCCGCTGCGTGGTCCGAAGTGAGTATAGTCAGCTTCGATCCTGTACAGGATTTGATTCTCGTCTAGGAGCATGATTCAGACATTTCTTCGTTCTTAAGGGATGCTAGCAGACTCGCCTCTACATTCACCATTCCGATGACTGAAAGCGTCCCGCATATCTACGTCTCCATGCTCCCGCTCATGAAGGACGATTCAGAAGTGGCAGCGCACTACTTGAAACAGACATCTCGGATGGTGGAGGTGGATCGCATAGGGACGAAGAGGCCGCCGCTCTGGTTAAAGGTACTGGAGGGCCACTTGGGTACTGTTCAGTCTGTCTCATTCTCGCCCGATGGTGAGTGTGTTGCTTCGGGCTCTGATGACCGGACAGCCAGAATCTGGAACGTTGAGAGTGGTGAGGTGCTATGCGAATTTTCTGAGGGGAACGGAGCGGAGGTCAATTCTGTCGTATTCTCGCCAGACGGCCGCCGTATCGCCTTTGGGACATGTCGTGGGACAATCTCGATCTGGGACATTGAGTCGAAGGAGCTAGTGTCGGGGCCATTTAAAGGACATACTGGCAGTGTGCGGGGCGTTGCATTTTCTCCTGATGGAATGCACATTACCTCAGGCTCGGCGGACACAACAATAAGAGTATGGGACATCGAGAAGGCATCTACTCTTCGTGTTCTTGAGGGGCATACAGCTAGCGTCTGGTCTGTCGCTTTCTCTTCTGACGGGAACTGCATCGTTTCGGGCTCCGAGGACAAGACACTTCGAGTCTGGGACCCAGAGACGGGACAGGCCATTGGCAAGCCCTTTGTAGGACACACTGACGGAGTTCAATGCGTGGCAATTTCACCCGATTGCAAATGCATTGTCTCCGGCTCAAATGATTTCACGGTGAGAGTCTGGGGAATGGAGAGCGAGAAAGTCGTCGCCGGCCCATTTTGGCATTTAACTTTTGTCAAATCTGTCGCATTTTCGTCTGACGGAAGGCGTGTAGTGTCGGCGTCCGACGATTTCTCAATTGTTGTATGGGATATGGAAAGTGGTGACATTGCTTCTGGCCCTTTTACTGGTCACACAGATACTGTAATCTCTGTTGCCTTCTCCCCTGACGGGTCACGCATCGTCTCAGGATCACGGGACAAGACTGTCAGACTCTGGGACGCACATATAGGCAAAATGGTTTCCGACACATCTACCGGGCACACAGCAGCAGTCATGGCCGTTGCGTTTTCTCCAGATGGCAGCCGGATAGTGTCGGGTGCTAATGATAAAACAGTAAGAATCTGGGATGCTAATACGGCAGAAGCTGCTTCTGCTCCGTTTGAGGGACATACTGATCATGTCAATTCTGTGGCTTTCCGGCGTGATGGAAAACAGATTGTCTCTGGTTCTGAAGATAAGTCTGTTATTGTCTGGGACGTAGAAAGTGGTAAGATGGTGTTCAAGCCATTCAAAGAGCACGTGGATATTGTCAACTTGGTTGCCTTCTCTCCTGACGGCACACGCATCGTCTCTGGCTCTAGAGACAGAACCATCATTATCTGGAATGCTGAAAATGGAAACATGATTGCTCAATCGGAACGAGTGCACGGGTCCGCGATTGGGGCTGCTATCTTCTCACCAGATGGTGCGATTATTGCATCGGTGTCTGTCAACAATGATGTTGTCATCTGGAACACCGAAAACGGGAAATGTGTCTCCGGACCTTTCAAAGCACTTCAAAACAGCACCGCTTGCATTTTCGCTCCACTTGCCTTCACTCCTGATGGAATGTATATTGCCTCGCGCAGTTCGAACAATGATATTATTGTTCGTGACTTGCAGAGCGGTGAGATCGTCCCTGGACCTTGGAAAGGACACAACGACACAGTCACGTCTATTGCGTTTTCACCTGACGGAGTATATCTCGTTTCCGGATCGGAAGATCGGAAGATTATTGTCTGGAATGCCAGCAATGGAAATATCGTTTCTGGGCCATATGAAGGACATTCTAATGGCATTACTTGCGTTGCCTTGTCGCCAGATGGTTCGCGTATTGTGTCCTGCTCTTGGGACACAACGATTCGCATTTGGAATGTACCAGGCAAGGAAGACATTTCCTCAATGACCGGAAACTCAGCAAGCGATGCGGCTGCCCCATGTTCATCCATGCAAGACGTCAACGGACGGTTTGCAAGTTGGACCCTTTCAGACAATGGATGGGTATTAAGTGCACAAGACGAGTTGCTTTTATGGCTTCCGCCCGACATTCGCCCGACACTCTGGCGGCCACAGGACGCAGCAGTTTTCAGTTGCGAGTTTTCCACAAAGCTCAATTTCAGGAATGTTGCATATGGCAAAAGTTGGCGGGAATGTTTCAACCGGTATGTATGACATTGGCTTTTCCTTGATTACCTGTTGCTATACTTTGACATAGGTGTTGTTACTAAAGCAAACTAAGTACCAATACATTACGTTTGTCACTCCTTAACCAAGATATTCCTATTTCTAATTTATGGCTGGAGTGATTGAGTAAGAGCAGGAGATGCGCAGCCCAGTGCTGGCACTTTGTTCAGTGACTTTTATTTAATATAAGAGAGAAAGGGGTGAGATTATTACGATGTACTTCTCTGCACGACTGTGTGTAGCACATACTTATTGAATATCCGTTGAATCGTCTTGTTCATTGCATATTAGGGCGAAGCGTGCTGCTCTTTCCCACTGATTCTTGCCTTGAACGACGCGGGTCGTTTCCTTCAGAATCCTAGAACGCTCAAGCTTGACTTTGATGCCCGCAAGTAGAGCGCAGAACGTCACCTGTGGATTGATATTAGGACTTAGACTGGACTTGTACACTGTACAGAACTGAATATACATTGGAAGCCGACAGGCATCAAGTAGTCAGACTGTCTGCGATAGGACTGCTCGCAGGAAGCGTGACGCGTCGCGACGACAATACCAGTGCGGTTAGCATGCATTGTGGTAATACTGGTATTAGTTCCTGCCAAATCTATTGAAACAATCAAATTTGGCTTCAAAGTTGACACCAACCAGAAACATAACGTCGATTTCCTTTTTCATGTAAGTACACGCTGAAAAGAATCTCGATTAGCGTCTTGTCGGACTTTGTAATTATTGCGAGCTCCGTTACGTAATCAAATATTTCAATTGCAAACTCAAAGAATCGAGATCGGCAAAACTATTTCATCTTCCATTTGCCTGTGTGTGGAGAAACGAGAGAGATGCTTCCCGAAATCACAAGCCACCCGTCCCTGTCATAAATCAACAGACTCTTTTCATTCATGTCATTGAACTCGTCCTCTTGCATCTCTGATCCATCCCATCATCTTGCCGTCATCTGCCACTCTTGTCTTGCATCCAATCCTTTCTGTACGGTCCTGACACTTGACACTGCGCTATCATGCCGTCGTTGACACTCCCATATAAAAGCACTCGCGTGTTGGTTCTTTCTTCTGCAACTGTTATATTCCTCTGTTATCGTATTCTACGCATTCTCAACTCAAGGAACAGTAGGAAACCCTCTGTTTCGGCGATTAAGAAACTCGAGGTTGTTGGAAAGCGTATGGAAAGTCCGAACGAAAAGACTCTCGGTGATTATCCAGAGTATGATGTTGTAATAGTTGGTGGAGGTACGTCTGCTGAGTTGGAGATATACGCCTCGCGGCTCAAGACGAGCGGATTTAAACTTGCAGGAACTGCCGGTTGTGTGCTTGCTGCACGACTGACCGAAGACCCGAAAATCTCAGTCCTTCTGTTAGAAGCTGGAGGAAGGTGTGTTTTCATTCGTCGAAAACGGAAATATTAGACTTATCCCGATTATGCCTTGCTCTACAAAGTGGGAAAAGCAAGCTTTACACCCACATACCGGCAGCTTATTCTCGTATATTCCATACGAGAGCTGACTATAACCTGTACACTGTCCCTCAAGAGAATGCTGCAGGGAGGAAACGATATTGGCCGAGAGGTACGCAATTTAACCGATTATTATTCAAATAATTGTATAACTATAGAGTATAGGGAAGATGCTTGGTGGATGTGAGTTCCAAACGTTGGCAATACCTGGTCGTTCCTTACAAAGTTTTGACAGGTTCATCAATAAATGCGCAAATGTAATGATCAGCAGTTGATCTTGACATGTCACTCCGCTTATGATATACGACAGGTTCCATGCAGGCGCACCATCGGATTTCGACGAATGGGCGAAAACAGGTCTACAAGGTGCAGAGAGCTGGGCGTTTCTAGAATTTCAAAAGTAAGGTTCTTCCCTCGTTTGCTCCACCGTAAGTTTTATAAACTTATGATCGGCCTACAACAGATATCTTCTGAAGTTTGAAAAATTTGTTCCGAGCGAACGCTTCCCTGACGTCGACATATCGAAGCGCGGCTCTTCGGGTCCCATTGAAGGTAACCCTATGCATTCGATTGGTAGCACTTATCTGATAATCACATTTGCTAGTTGGCTATTTTGGGAACTTCTCCCGATTCTGTTCGAAATGGCTCGATGCGTGTGGAGAAGCTGGAATTCCATATGCTCCAGATGTCAATACAGCTACAGGTTCTCTCGGTGCAACAAAGGTTTGTTTTAAATATCTATGTAAACAATTAAGTTTGACGTTTTTCATTTAAGATTAGTACGTCCTCGTAGTAGATGCTCCGTCGTGCATCACCTAAATATCCTCCCTTCAGTGACCTACATCGACAGTAAAGGCCATCGCACAACGACGGAGACTGCATATTTCACGCCCGAGGTATTGAACAGACCCAACTTGACGGTTGCGAAGCATGCGCATGTAACAAAGATTTTGTTCGACACTTCGGATGGCAAGAAGCGTGCTGTTGGTGTTGAGTTTGCTCGTGGAAAGAATGGCCCGAGATATCGTGCTAAGGCACGAAAGGAGGTTGTCCTGTCGTGCGTGAAATATGTTCATATTAATTAGCGTTATCTGACGTGATTGCTTTGTAGAGCTGGCGCTGTGCATTCACCGCACGTAAGCAGATCTTATAGTTTTCTCTCTACATGTTCGGATGTTTAATGACATACCTGATTTAGATCCTTATGCTATCAGGTGTGGGACCCGCGGCTCATCTGAGGGATAATTGTATCCCTCTTGTTCATGATCTTCCTGGAGTCGGGCAGCACCTAATGGATCATCCAGTGGTGAACCTGCGCTTCCGTCTCAATCGTGGAGAATCCCTGATGTATGTAGAGCCCCGCGCCTTTCTTGAGGTCTTCCGGATGCTCCCCAAACTGGCTCAATGGGTACTCAAGGGCACTGGCCCACTGACTAGTAATGTGAATTACCAAGTAGGGTTACCGCATACGAAGGTCTAACACTAGTCTCTCATGATAGGTTGCGGAAGCAGTGGCCTTCGTCCGCTCTGACGATCCTAAGCTCTTCATGCCCTCGGAGCTGACGGAAGACATTGAAGATACGACTTCTGGTTCGAATGCCCCTGATTTGGAGCTCTTCTCGAGTCCGTTTGCTTGGATTGAACATACGAATAAACATCCACTTCTCCCTTCAGGCGAACTTGGTTCTCTTTCGGTTGTTCTGCTACGGTGAGTTGTGTTTTGGTTAGCTCTTAATATTCGGAAGGGGACATGCTTATTCGTGTTTGCAGTCCCACGAGTTTGGGAAGCATTACGTTGAAGTCTGCTGATCCGTTCGATGCTCCGGTTATCGATCCTAAGTATGTCCTTCGAATACTACATAGATTTTGTGCTTATGTCCGCGGATAGTTACCTTGCAACGCACCACGACGTCGCCTTGCTTATCCGTGGTGTAAGGATCTGTCTACGCCTTGCTCGTACTGTATCACTTCGACCGCTCATCGACAAGTCCGCCGATGAAGATCCAGCGCTCGACCATGCACTGTACACGAAGAACGACGCGGAGATAGAAGCTCTGGTACGAGAGCGTGTGGAAACGCTCTATCATCCTGTGTCGACGGCGCGCATGGCACGACTCGAAGACGGAGGTGTTGTCGATGCACAATTAAAAGTGCATGGTATCGAGAATCTTCGAGTTGTGGATGCGTCTATCTTCCCGACGATCAACTCCGGGCATACGGTAAGTTAGACTCTGCTGCGTGTTTTTTCGTGACCTGAAGTTTCTTCGATTCCGTGTAGGCTGCGCCCACGATCGCTGTTGCTGAACGAGCTGCGGATATCATGAAACAGCAACTTCATGCCTAAGTCTTTGACATTATTAGGCACGCTTCCCCTGTAAAGTTCGTATGATTATTGGTTATATTTTCCGTAAATGTCTCGTGGATGTAATTAGTGGCTGAAGCACATCTATAAATATATCCATTCTATACGATAGCGACACCACCAACACATCCCAACAGGGTTACGTCAACCGAATCACCAGTATGCTTCTCTAACCAAGCATCCAACTCCTCAAATACTTGCATAGCTGGACCTCCCTGTTCTTTCTCCTTTGCTTTCCCAGGCCACATAGCCGTTTCCTTTACACCAACAAAGTTGACCTGAAGAGCACCTGGTTTCTGTTGCGACTCTGGGTCGTGTAAGTTGATGACAAGGTCGAGTGACCAAGTGTCTTCGCCGTAGAAGGATGCTTCTTTGACGAAATGTCGGGCGTGCTCTGTGGGCGGGGAGTCGTCGAGACTCCACGAAAGGACGTGTGCGTCGAATGCGATGGCTAAAGAACGTTTTACATTAAATGACCTTGTCTCGCGGACTCATGTAATGAACACCTACTCGTCCATATTATTCCAGGATGAGAAACGACGAGTGTAAGACTACGTGTCCCAGCCTCCTTGTTAACGATGTCGTTGACAGCTTTTACACTAAATCGGCCATCTGCATAACTTGATACGTACGAGTCGAGTGCGACCTCGTACGGTGAAAGGAACTGCACAACAAATTATAAGTACTCAAGGTGCCAAAGTTGTCTTGAGCTGTGAAGATAGCTTACACCTGAGAATGGGTATAGAACGTCCCAATCACCGTTATACTGGTGCATGTCGACTCTCTCGGCGCGCGTCGTATTCTTGGTGACGAATGATGAGATGTCTTGTACAAGCGATTCAAATCCTGGTGCTGAGTCTGATGTACCGATACCTAGCGAGACTTCGTTCGTGGTAATCTACAATACGGTTAAAAATTAACAGATGAAACTCGAACATGGTCGCAAGTGTGAACGCCCTACGTTTTCAGAGTGAATTATATACACCCGCTTGGGATGCATCGAATCGAATGGACTTCGGAACGCGAATACAACCATCATCGCGCCCGTCATCAGAGTAAGGAAAAGTAGAGTTCTTCTAACGAATCGTGCACCGAAACGTTGGAAGAAAGGCAGGATGAGTGGGAGGAGGTAGGAAGACGTGAGCACGACGATTGTTGCGATAATGTGTTCTGCAGGAGCAGTTCCGCCCATACGTCCAGTCTGTAAAACCCACGAGTCGTATTATGTCTTAAAATTGAGGATAAGGATGTCTGCTTACGAGAGGCACGAAGATATCGGCAACGATGCAAAACATCTCGGAACCGAACACGAGCGGGACGACTTGCCCAAGCGCATAGGAACCAAGAACCACTCTGCTTTTTTCTCCGCACCATAGATCGAGCAAGAGACCCGCAAATATGGAACAACCAGCGGAGAAGAACAAGATGGCGGAGCCAATGCCGGCGAGTTGAATCACAACCGCAAGGAAAGCGTACGCGAGGAGAACAGATTGCATGAGCACACGTTCCGAGACGCGTAGAGTCGGAGATAAAAAGGATAGGACCGAGAGTGCACCCGCAAGTGCTGGAGGTCCGTAGAGGAATAGGCAGCTACTTTCAACGCGGAACCAGCTGAGTGGTCTATCGAGGACGTTCACCATGAGTAATGCTACGACATGTACGCTAATGAGTGCAGCCAAGAATGCCAAAATGAGCAGCATGACTCCCTTGGCGATATCGGGCCAGATACCCTGTTCAGTGGATATGGCTTCTGATACTTCCGACATCGATTCTACGCGGTTGTTCTGGATATGAGTCTCGCGCTTCTCTTGCCTCACGACAATCATAGACACAGAAGGCCTGGACAGTGCGATGAGTGCGATACTGGCTGCCAACAGGACGAAGTGTAGTGCGTTTGCGGTCGCAAAGCTGTATCGGATAAAGTGCATATTGAGAAACGAGAAGAATGCTGTGGTCGGCTTCGTATAACCATTTGTGAGAGTTGGGAGAGGCGACTCCGGAGAGGACAAGAATCCAAGTAAAGCAAGTGTGTTATCGGCCATGTGTTGTGCGACACCCGGCTGAATGTAGCGGACGAGATCCTTTCGCGTATGATAGAAATACGAGTGCCCGACAACGGCCATATCCAATCCAGTAATGTTCATATATAGCTCAAACTGTCGGAAATCCGTATCGCTCATAATGACACCCGAGCTAAACACGTCGTTCGCGACGATGGTACCGAAGGGTCTGGGAACCTGTGCATACACGTCGACCATTGCGCTGCTCGTGGCTTGAAACAGAAGAGTTCGGCCGTGTGTTCCCGCTGCTTCGAGATTGAGAACTGCACGTACGCTTTCGCGCCATGGATGTGATGTTGCGAAAAGATGCGAGCCGTCCTGGAGGGATTCTTCCGCATTGTTGAATAGCATAATGATAGAGTGACTAGGTGACCAGTGTGATGTTTCGATTAGAACTCGTGCAGTTTCTAGCATGACACCTACGGCAAGACTATCGTCTGCAGCGCCAGGGCTAGGAAGTGTCGAATCGAGATGCGCGTTGACCAGAACAGCGTGCTCCTTCCCTTTCTCAGTACCATCCGAAATCCGAAGGACGATGTTCGTGAGGTTCACGTATGTCTTGTACAGTCGTGCTGACAAAATATCGAACCTATGGCTTCCACTTCCAATCTGCCTGTCGACCTCGCATTCGAGCCTCCGCGTGGAGTCTACTCTAACAATCCTTTCGCAAAGTTCCTTGAGTTCGGTCGCCCTCGCCAACGCCCAAGAGTCTCCCAAAGCGTGTTCTCGAGTCCCAACTGTCCTAAATCCGATGTCCTCCGACAATACCCTTGCATGCTCAAGAATGACGCGTTCAGAGATCTGAGGTTTGCCGGTTAAGTTGTCATGCCTAGCATAAACGTTAGACACTATAGGCGGCGCAAATAAGCAACGAACAGGTCAACTACCGGTACAGGAAGCTCTGCGTGATTTTCCACGTCAGCTCAGTATTAATGTCGTACACGAATAAGCTTTACCATAATGCTTCCACAACGATACGGCTGGAAAGCCCACGAACAGGGGTGCGAGGACGAGGAATGTCCTGAAAAATCCCCATTGCTTCGGCATAGCCAGAGTCAAATGTCTTTTTTTAAGTTATTTGACCTCACAACAGTTGCTCGAGTCAAGGGGATTAGAGCGCGTCAGCATCACGTGCTATTTTGGTCAAAGTACAGTACGTAATACTAATTATAGACACAGAGACAATCTCGCTTTCTCGCAGGTTCCGCTGTGTCCGCTAATCAGAACCGTGTGTTTTGTCAATCGCTCATACTAATACACCAATCATCGTTGCATGTTAGTTCATATCATACAAATACTCCAAAATCCACCCCTCTGTCCTGCTGCCTCGAGCTTGTCGTCTTGCACAGTGTCAAGTATTGGCGTTGCTGTATTTATTTCTGGGAAGAGCGGCAACAGACGACTGGATAATAGGCGAAATATTCTGGATAATACTTGCTGTGTCGGGATGAAATACTGCATGCTCCTTAGGAGGATAAAAGTCCTCAACGAGGTAGACCACCATCCCTTGTGGAGTTGCAATTCTAATGCTTGTCATCGTCTCCATCACCTCGTTCGTAAACTCCATAAAATAAACTTCATGCAGAAAGTCGTTATATCTTCTCAGGATATCACCATGCCCCCAGAACAAGGCGAGAATACGGCGTATTTCTTCCAATTCAGTAATTCTGCCACAAATTAATCCATGTAATCTCGGAACAGCGCGAATGAGTAAATGAATGAGCACTCACCGTCTCCACCAACGTTCATGTAGGACGCTCAAGAAGGCAGAATAGACCTCTGGTGCGTCCTTGAAGCATGCCTTAACAACTTCTACAAAGTCTATACCATCTTTTATGGTATTAGTAATGTGAGCAGCTGCGCCCTGGTTGTGTCGCGGGCAGCCTGATTTCGTGGCTCTTGGCATGATCGCAGGTGTTAAGTGTGCAGACAACAAGTTTAGGGGATATCAATGCGGATAGACGAGTAGAATTTTGGTCTCTGACTGATTCACGGGAAAAGCAGCACTTTCAGAGTCATACCTTCCCGGACCCCCCGAGTCTCCGCTCTGCTAAGTGCTTTTTTGCATTTCCAAATTTATCTACTCCCCTGCATATTCCAAAATAACAATTTCTAGTACTAAAGTGATCTGCGACCACCTGAATACCTATCATTGCATTTCCCAAACGTAATAGCATGTGTATCTGTCCTAGTAACACACCGGCTGGCAAGCAACAGCGAGTGGATGCAGTTTAATACATACACCCCATTCTATATTTGCCAAGGATACAGTACATACCATCAGAAATCAGCTTGCCTTACAGCTCTTGAAAGACACAGCTCTGTCCTCGAGGATCTCAACATGGGAGAATCAGAGCTGCGACTGCTCGTCCGCAATAAAATATTCCATAATTACTGACTTTTTGTCTTTTCACTTAATAATTTAAATAAACAAAGGTGAAGTGAATTCGGGCGTATAATCAATATTGTGCACAACACGCGAACGAATACAGTACAAGTGGAATAGATACAAGAAATCATTTATAACTACAACACCACCAATGACGGTCGGCGTGGTTCAGGTATCATAAGTCACGACTAGTCATCATCGTCCATTTCCTGTTGTACAAGTAATATATTAAGTAAAGGTATTGCAAGTTAGTAGAGCCATGCACTCACAGATAAGTCGTCAGGGAGCTCCTCCCCCTCCTCATCAAGATCGTACCATGGCACCTCAACATTATAGAATCTGCATAAAATATTAAGTTGTGTTTACTTGACAAGCAAAAAGCAAAGCAACATACTCGAGTTTCTCATCGTTAATTGGGTCGGGACTTTGACGCCTCTTTCCTTCCCGCTTCTGAACTACCTTGATTTGGAAAAGTGGTACGAAATTGGACTCGTCCGAAGACGCTGATTGGTAAAAGCCAGAGAGACCTTCTGTGATCCACTTCAAGGGTTTCTCTCCTCCCGATTTATCAGAACCCGCATCTCCGGGCGAGAAGGGGTCAGAACATAACCCGATAGAGACACTCCCTTGCACTGTATAAAAGTACATTATTAGATTAGAAAATTCAGAAACGGAAGGCACACAAATACTCTTATCGGAAAGATACATGGCATAGGCAGGGCACGTGTGGACATGTGTCACGATGTATTTTCCTTTCACCCATTCGGATTCCTTAATTTCTTCGAGCAACTCTTCCGGGACCCTTGTCAACTTTGTTCTATGCATGAGCAAGATTGCTCCACGTCGATTGCTGAAATGCCATTGACCACCAACGAGCGGCTTTGAATCCCCAAAAATATCCCTGTAAATAGATTCAACAAGCTAAGCACCGTGCCAAACAGAACACGCACGGGTTGAATTGGGCCTTCAGCTTAGTTGTCCTTGTGTTCAAGGAGTGATACTGGTAATCCGTCGTCTCTGAATTGTAGATTGGCGGATATCTCGCCGTGATCTCTGCAATGGTGCTATCGCGATAGAGGTTTCCTTGTCTTTCAAACTCTCCGGACTCCTTGTTAACTCCGCCATAATCACCGGCCTAAAGCGACGGTCAGGTTGAGCAGGAGACAAAAAGGCATGCCATGACTCACTTCTACGGGGTTCGATGGGTCCCAGTTGGCCCATTTGTTCGAGGAATATTTGATGAGGTCGATGTACTTGCGTGACGCGGTCTTTTTCGATGACATAGGCATTTTGAACGCGTTCGAAGTGAGGGTGCTGATGGGAATGGAACGACCGGGTCAGGTTATATCACGTCGACAAGCGCTTGCAGTGCCCGTCGAAAGTATTACGAACGTCCACGGCCTTTTTTCTCCGTCTTCGTCTATTACTTGCTTTTCGCATAACGCTGTAATTATTTTCAAATAGGGTAATCCTAGAGTTGCACGAGTCAAGAGAAGACAGTGGGAAGACGCGAATATAGGGAGGCGGTGAGTCTCAACAAGGTCACGAGAATTCTTTCATCGCTCTTTCCCTAATACATCGCAGCCCAAAACAAAGAGCACAGTAAAAAGGCAGTGACAAGAAGAGTATTGCGATACAATCAACTTCATATCCGCATTTCTCCCGTGCACAGCGCTGGGTCTATTGTGTCCTTTTGATGCTATTGAACCATATCAGTAGAATGAGCCAACGGGGATCAGTGGAAGCCATGCTTGGGGCATGATTCACTGTACTCAGCATAGCTTCCATCTTTAGGGGGACATAGGAGCGTAGACCGAGAAGTCTAGTAATCCGAGGCGGTGGCACCATGCGTTGATAGATTGCTCCTCTCCAATGAAATAACTGTATACTCTAGGAACGTGTATCATTTCCTACTACTATATCGATGAACATAGACGCTCATTGACACAACTAGATGAACATGGATAAGGCATGCAGGACTACGCGAGAATAAGAATAGCTCACAGAGAAAGTAAACGTCCCTTCTAATACGTCGAGGGCGCTGTCTGTATAACTGTGCGTCCCTTGCATGCGAGATGTCAAGGCGATGCTTGCGCGGAAAAACTTAGACGGGACTGTTAGCGCAACTGCCCTGAGGAAGCAAATTAAGTACACGTGTTGCAGTGCTTTCCCGCCCGATCATCATTGCATCATCGGTTAGACACGTGCTGCTCACGTAATCTTAACCTTGTCCATCCCAGTTCCTTCACCTTCCTTCCCTGACATGCAAATTTGCAAAAGTCCCAAGTTTTACCTGAGAAGCTCCCGCTCATAAACCGTGCCGCTATGGGTGCAACGTTCGCAGAGAATCAACATGCAAACAATGACCTTTGATGCAAGGTGGCTCAGGGCCCCGATTCACGAATCCGAACCGATCTTTGGACGTTCTTAGCTTGGCTATCTCCCATCTCTACAGACTCATTTTCATTCAAAGGCTCAAAAGCAATAAATAAAATATAGCAAGGTACTTTAATTATACAGTGGTATCAGGACGCAGAACTTATCGACGCGACAATGCTAGAGGGATCTCTGTGGGGAACGCTAACGGTCCCAGCCGGGATCGTTCTATAATGCATTCCCGTAAGTAACTCTATTACAATGAAGGACAGGAAACTTTTCATGCTCACCAACTTGTCTTCTGGAATTTCTTCCCCTTCGTCATCAAGGAAGTCCCACGGAATGTCGACATGCCAATATCTAGCAAGAAAAACTGAGCTTTCAGTTGGATCGAACAATATGACTGGACTTACACCAGCTTATCATCGTTTTCTGGGTCGGGACTCTCGCGCCTCTTTCCTGCACGCGGCCTGATTTCGGTGAGCTGGTACAACGGTACATACTTGTTCTTATCCGCGCTGATTTCTCCTCGGAAAAGTCCAGTAGCACCAGATGTGACCCAATTCAATCCAGTCGGTCCAGCAGATTCTGGTCTGTCAGAGCGCAGAGCAATGCTGACAGCTTCTTTACCTGAACATAGGAAGTAAGAACTGGGAAGGCTGCACGAAAGATTAGTGGAAAAGTGCGCACTCATGTCCGAGATATAAATCGCATAAGCAGGACATGTATGAACGTGCTCGACAATATGTTTGCCTATCGCCCATCCTGATTCTTTCAGCGTATCAAGAAGCTCACTTGGAACTTTTGTAATTTGTGACTGATACATCATTAGGACGGCACCACGCGCTTGACTGAACTGCCATCGACCGCAAAAAAGTGAACCTTCCGTTGTATCGTCATCCCTGCATATTTGATTAACTCGTTAATCCAAAATACACATATCTGAGAGTGGATGCCACTTGCCATTTGATACCAGGTTTTACCTTCGCCTCCTTTGCGTTTACCGAAGTATATTTGTAATCCTTTTCTGCTCCCTTTAAAGTCGGAGGATACTGCGATGTAAGATCGGCAATTTCAGGTGCTTCGTAGAGATTTCCCTCCTTTATGAAATAGCCAGTCTCTATGTCGATGTCGCCATAGTCTCCACACTACGAAGTTTGTCAATTCACGCAACTAAGAGACAGAGCATACATGCAGAGTATACTAACCTGGATTGTCGATGTCGGCTCCCAGTTGGCCCATTTACTGGCAATCATCATCATGAGGTCGACATACCGCCGTGCGATCGGATTCCTCTGAGGGACAGTCATGCTGGACGTGTTTGGAAAGGTGGGTTCCGAGATGCTTGCGCAGTCGTTGGCGGGAAATATACGCAATTGACGAGCGCTTGTTGAGGGACTGCTTTGCACTTTATCCACTTATCCAAGTGGATCGCAAGTATCACTCAGCCTGTATACGGAGGTGCTAGAGAATCGATTCGGGACAGAGTGGTGAAGTCAGCTGGGCTGTGTCTGTTCTGGCCAGTTGTCAAGGGAGGCGGATACTAGCGCATCGAAACCTTGTATCGTATTCAAAGCGAGGCGGTGCAGTAGGGCGCATCGCTTTTACTACTTGCCATACATGTGTACTTTTCTGCAGAACCTAATTATGCTCGCTGCAGGACCACAATTGAGCAGCAGTCTATAATAAGTATACAAGTATACCAGGCCAAGGAGACCATGGGTTAGGCAATGCCTCAAGGCAGTGCACACAGGTTGGGATGAGCTGTCTGATAATTGATTGATTTCATGACTAGCTTCGTTGCAATTTGCAAATTATGTGCTTTCCACGGGAGCGACGACTTGTTAACACAGCATCGCGCCGCACCTGTGTAGTGCTCTCGTGTTCTTTCCTTCTTTCATAGTTTGTCACAATGGTATACCACACAGCTGAGAAAATGTTGCCTCCAGTCAATGGTGAGAATAAGTAATAATCCTTTCCCTTATGCTAGCCAAGCATGACTCTTTAGCTAATATAATGTATTGCCAACTCTATACTTGTTGCCTTCTTGCTTATCTTGTCAACGAGACTAAGGGAATCAAAACGACACAAAAACAAAGACTGTATTGGTGGTATTGAGACACTTTGAGTTCCATCCTGGTAATATCTGTATGCAAACATGTATAGTGCAGATTGAAAGAAAAAAAAGTAAAATGCAACATTCACTCGACGTCAGATTCGTTCTACATAGAACCAAGAACAATTTAAATATTACACGGAATACTGAGGAAGTAATACTAGACTTACGGGTAACTCTCCTGTCTCCTCTTCCCCATCTTCATTGAGGAAATTCCACGGCGCCTCGACTTGGTGCCATCTAGTCATTTTTCCAGTGGTCAGTACAGGATTGCATACCAGTTTGAATGACTTACTCTTCAATCTCATCTTCACCGGGGCCCAAATCCTGTCTCCGCCTCCCTGCACGCGTTCCAACTTCTTTAAGCTGATACAATGGCACAAAGACATGTTCGGCATTGGTAGCTTTCTGGAAAGTTCCAGTAACACCGCTTGCAGACCAGGCTGCAGTAATTCCAGCTCCAACCGTCATTCCGGGAACTACCATACTAGGAGCGTCCACGCGTAGGCTGATGCTGACAGTCTCGTTACCTGTTACCGAGTATTAGTATTATGCTAGGAATCCATTCATAAAGAACTATCCCTACTTCTGTCAGAAAGATAAAGAGCGTAGGCAGGACATTTATAGACATGCGTCACTATATGTTTCCCGTTTGCCCAACCAGAACTCCTCAGCGTTTCAAGCAGTTCGGGAGGCACCCTTGTGATGCGAAATTTGTACATAAGTAGCAGGGCTCCGCGTGTACGACCAAATCGCCATTGACCGCCGAGGGCCGGTTCAACGGTTTGAACAAAGGTCCTAACGTGTCATTGAGTGTGCCTTTCCTTGTCCTTTCTTTCGAACGTACAAATACTTACGCATGCACATCTGGTCCGAGACTGATCGTTCTCGCATTCATGGAATGTATCTGATAGTCGTCGACTTCAGGACCCGTAATCGGCATATATTTCGATGTTATGTGCATAATTCCTTCGTCACGATAAATATTTCCCTGCTTCTCAAACTGACCGGAATATTTGTTAACTTTTCCATAGTCGCCTGCCTGGTATTGTATGCTAGGTATGAGTGACTGAAGAATGCGTCGAATCGAGGCACTTTACCTCGATCGGAATCGACGGGTCCCAATTTGCATATTTATCCGTTGCGCTTTTTATGAGGTCGATATACTTGCGCGGTGCAAGCTTTTGGAAGATGGAGACCATATCTCAAGCCGTCCGCAAGGATGGAGGTGGTTGGATGCAGAAATACCACAAAGTAGGGTTTATATCCTGGTGCTCAGCCACAGTGGGGCCAGCGCATGCACTCGAACAAAGGATTTTCGAAATCGGGTACAGCCTCAGTAACGACGGTCGATGATCAATAAAGCACCAGCTTCTATTCCGAGAACCAGACCGCACACGCTTCTGTTAATAGCCATGTCATCGTAGAAGAAAGAATATTAAATAATGACAGGTGATGAAACTCACGAGGGAGGAACAAAGGAGGTCTGAACGACGAGTAATAGATGAATGGAAAGTTCCACGACGATCCAGAAAACGTGACTAGCACTCTGCAGCATCAGTGATAGTGTGACGGAATCAGAAATGATAATACAACTGGAAGCGAGGCAGGGCCGCAGTGCCTTGCAACCATTGGTTTAGGCACAGCCATAATCGAGGACCTTGTCTCCGACCCTAATCATCTATACTCGAGATTTTATTGTCTCCTCCCTTACAATGAGCTGCACTTCTACTCTTCGTACCCTTGAAGCTGCTATGACTCAGTGTCGTGAATGGCAGCAGTCGGCTCTCCTTGCTGCCTTCCGTAGAGCTACCCATATGCAAACCTACCAATTCCTCTAATCGTGTTCCTGCTACAGTTGAACTGCCCCAACCCAAACGAGTCGACGCTCTGTCTTTTCAGGAAGATGTTGAGCTACCACCTGTTGGTTCCCCTGCCCATACGAATAATGACGACGTCCAAATGGGCAACGATGCCTACCCTCCGCCCCAACTTCATGGCAACCCCGAAGGAGTCAACCCTTCACTTAGTCACCCTTCACTCAATCCCACCTCACCCCAACCATGCCCTAATGACGAACCGGTTACCCAGTTCTGGCACTGCAGCGCGTGCATGATTGCACGCTACCCTCTTAGGGCAGACCTGACAGCACACATGTGCACGTGCCAAGTCAACATTCAATTACTATGCAACCTCAAGGCTGAAGCAGAGCACATTCCTACTCAACTGCCCAGCCCAACACCTCCTACTCAACCACCTAGCCCAACACCCCTGCCCATGCCTACACCCCCTCGAAGGAAATGTACCTACTGTGGTTCACCTGTACAGCAAACGCTAAAGAACATAGCAGATCACAAACACGGTTTTTTCTACTAATTCATTCTAATCAACCAAATCAACAACCCATTATAGGACAATGGCTCCAAACCCAACACCTCACCCAAACAACCTTACACATACATATACAATGGCTATACCTCTACCTTCCAGACAGTTGTTGTATGTACACACTGTTACAATTCTCTACTCTTGTACTTTCAGTTCTAAGGGTTCTACACTCTTCT